TCATCAGCGATGTTTCTTAGCTTATTTTGACAAAATTGAACCAAACTGTCTGCTAAAAGCGAATTATTATTTTACTTTTCATTAATGATTCAACAAAAAATAAATCATATTTTATTTTTGTTTATATCTCGTACCTTATGTCCCTTTTAAATACACTTAGCACCACTTAATTTTTTGGTAATTTAATCTTTAAATTTCAAGTTTTCGATGCTTCTGTTGTATATTGAATAATACTATAGTAAGATATTTCTAAACCAAAAAAAGTATTTTTGCAAAATGACCAAAAGAGATCCTCAGAAAAAGACACCCATCTATATATCTTAATCTGATAAAAAAAAATCGGACCGCTAACTTGCTCTCATCGGCATGTGCGCCTTATCAATTTTTAAGAACAGCACAGTTGATGGGAAAAGGTCATTTCTTCGTCTTTTCAGGACAGTTATCTGCTCATGTAGATTACAATCTACTTGTTTCTATGAAAATATATATTTGACAGATTAACCAATAACACACACACACACACACACACACACACACACACACTCACACAGTATTCTTCTTTAAAAAAAAACAACATTTTCTTCATCATTTACGGAAAACCTTAAACTCGTTAATTCATCTGCCAAAATTTTCTAACGCATGTTTTTTTTTCTTTATTGAACAATGTTTTGAAGGAAATAATGTAGGAAATGAGAATTCACAACAAGATGAAACTTCTGTTCAAGATCTTAGTACTTCTAGTATGTTTGTGGTTATTTCATGCCTTCATAAGAAAAGCCACACCAAAACATCATGGACCATTTCCAGATTTCATTTATGAAGAAGAAGATGCTTTTGGTCGAGTGATAGCTAGGGACTTGCGAGGGTGGGTTATTGACGAACACCTTTGTGATGGTAAAATAACTGACGACTTTGTCTTAGTTCATCTAGGCAATCCACCAAACCCACCTATCTACGTTTATCCTATGGATATTGATGAATATGTGTCAACCGATATTATCATGACAGGTCAATATGAATCGCACAATGTTGAAATAATGATACAGTACATGAAACGTTTTCCGAATGCCGTTTTCGTGGACTTGGGTGCATTTGTTGGGTCGTTCTCGATTGCTATAGCAGCTCTTGGATACAAGGTTGTAGCTGTAGAATGTTTGAAATCAAGTGTAAAGCGATTGTATGCCTCGATGCGAGAAGCAGGAGTAAGTGATAGGATGTCTATCATACACAATGCAGTATCAGATAAACATGTAAGAGCTGTAGTTGACACAGAGCCGGGCAATGTTGGAATGACTAATGTTATTGAAGGCAAATCTGAAGGCAACGAAACCGTAGATGTAATGGTTCTTGATGATCTCTTAGAAATTTTTCAGTTTAAACAAGTAATCATAAAAATGGATGTTCATCAATATGAAGATATGGTTTTAAATGGTGCATTTAGTTTCTTCAAGCAAGTTGATGTTGAAGCAGTGCTGATGGAATTTATTCACCATCGAAGTGATCAATATAACAATGACGGCAAATTTATCATAGATTTTATGGAATCCCATGGTTTTGAGCCAGATGTACCGGAGTACATGAAACGTGATTATAAAAAATGGACAATGCCTGAAATTTTATTTAAGAGAATAAAGCCGTTTAGTCATACCGATAAGGACATATAATGAATAAATTGATTCCATAGAATTGAAAAAAACATATCACCCATACGAGAAAAATATAAATGAAAAGAATAGGTTTGTTGGAAACAACTGTATATGAAAACAAACATGCCCATAGAGAATTATCTCGCACATTATATGTATGTTAAAAGTTATCATGCACCATTTGAGTAAGCTTAGCTGTAGTCTTGTGCATTGCACTGATCACCAGACAACGACATATGTAATGGGTTCAAATAAGTAATGTTCAGGTTTTCGTTTATTCATTTCTCATAAATCAGGTCCCTGTGTTTTCCGTTTGAATTGTATCAAATATTTTCATTTCCGTGCATCTTATACCTGGCCATATGGGTTGGTCTCATTGTTAAATGACTTATGGAAACTTAAGTTGCTTACATCTACGTCATTTAGACTCTGTTGGACAGTTTTCTCATAGGCAATCATACCATATCTCTTTATTTTATATTGGATGCCGATATGCAGACGAGTACTTAAAAACACATGAAAGTCATTAAATTAAAAACACATGGAAGTCATTCAATTAAAAACACATGGAAGTCATTAAATTAAAAACACATGAAAGTTATTAAATTAAAAAACACATGGAAGTCATTAAATTAAAAACACACGAAAGTCATTAAATCAAAAACACATGGAAGTCATTATATTAAAAACACATGGAAGTCATTAAATTAAAAACACATGGAAGTCATTAAATTAATTTAAGGAAGTCATTTAATTCATTTATCTTGTTGTCTATGGTCACTTAAACTAAGAAATTTCATTAATGCATCAATATAATCTACGATTGAGTTTTCATGTGTTTTTAATTACTCGTCTGAAAATTTGAATAGCTTTTATTTTACAAAAGTGTTTTCTTATACCATGTATCGTAATCTTGCGCAACAATAAAATAAAAATGTACACTCATAAGATCTTGTATTTATCACCTGCATATAAGGAATAGAAGGTAATTTGTTTGTTAAGGTGACTTGTGTAGAGCGTACAAGGTCAACTAATAATTCGTTTAACAAAAGCTACTCGTTAACAAATGCGGTATTGATTTCAGGGTTTACCTAGTCAACAAGTAAACTCGAATTCATTAATCTCTGCACACACACAAGTATTATGTAAATTAACCCAGTCCTCTGAGTCTATTGGACCTACATGTAACATTTTTCTAGATTTAAATTGTCACAGACTTCAAATATGGACCAAGTTCTTTAGTTCAGTTTTCATGAATGGGCACTACACAGGCAAGGCTGTGGTGTTGTATCACATGTATCGGTTCGTTGAAAAACAGGGAAATTTTGTAAAAAAATATATTACTCAGCCAAAAAAAAAAAAACAAAAAAAAACCGCGTATGTAAAAATTAAAAAGATGTTATATTTTAAAACTTGTGCATCTTGTTTAAAATATTTGATATACAACTTTCAATACGTTAATGGATTCATTTCTTATCTAAATAATTATTTTAAATCAGTTATTGAAGTCTGAAGAAAATTAAAATCACCGACACCATTGCAGATAAAGCAACACAGCCATGTACAGATTGAATGTTTCATTTGTTTAAATGTTTGTAAAAATTTTGTATTTTTTAAAGATTTTTACAGATTTTATATATTTCTCTTGTTTAAATGCCTTTTACTGATGGTTGTCTTGACATACTATAGCGAGAGACCCTTCTCAATATGTTGGAGTGTTGTGCCAACCGAAGTCCAAGATCGATCAAGAGTTTTAAAACTGTAATCCAGTATCAAAAGAGTTGGAATTTTTTGTTATAAAATATTATTCCACATCAACATTTTCTCATGATTTGCCAGACCAAGGTCAACATATGTCGGTTGGTTTCCAGTTATGCTCACTGGTTACCTCTGTAATTTATTTTAGTTTTGAATGTTTTATTATACTGTTAATGTATACCTTTAGACTGTGATAAAAGATGCAACTTTCCTTCTTTGGGGAAGACCAAAACTTAACATTTAGTTAATTTCTAAAAAAATTTACTTTTATGATTTTCATAATAATTTTTAAAAAGTTTTACGTTGCTGCTTTTTTTTTTTTCTTATAAAATGATAGCAAAAATAATTCTATTGATGAACAGAAAAAGGAACAAAGCATTGGAATGTGAAAATGACAAATAACAGCAACTGTTACAACCAGAGACATATACTATTAGAACTAAATTCCTAGTAGTTCCAGGGGAATATGATGGAACTTTGTAGATCATCTTTTCAATAAGAAGTTTTATTTGTGAAACCAAGTTTTCAGGAACGATCTTCTCATATCCTAACATATTAAGAACCACTTACCTGTTAAAGATTCAGATATCAGAATATTTGTCTTTTCCATATTTTACTGAGTTATCAGGTTTGGGACTTGTTGTTGATCATTATGCATTGATCTCATTTAATTTATATGAACTTGACTTATATTAAGATTGTTTTGAGATGTGACAATACTTTATATTAATCCATAATGTAAAGTGCAAAATTGTTTACTAGTGTTTTCTGAAGTATAGGATGTTCCTTTACCAAATATTTCAATTAATATTTATTACATACAATAGAAATTACAGTTGATGATGACTGGGAAAAGTAAAAACATTGGAGTAACCTGTCAGGTAATCAGTACATTTATCATAGACTGCAGCAACCAAGTTGTCAAGGACATGTAAAAATACAGAAAAAAAGTTGTACTTGGAGAGAAGTCATTAAAAGGGGGTAAAAGACTGAATTGGTCCTAAGTTAAGTGGAACATATCTGGCTGGTAGTCTGTGAAATAAATATATATATGCCTAATATATCATGTACTTTGTTACAACTCTAGATTCTACAGACGAGGAAAGGTAACACTAGGCCACCGAAAGCTGAATTATAAGTTCAGTCTAGGTGGCAGAGTGGTCTAGAGCGCTAGACACAGTGCAGGCGGTGTTGTCTCGATATCCCAATAGCATGAGTTCAAATCCCGGTGAGGGAAGAACAAAAATTTGCTTCCGCAAATTTGCAGATTTAACATTGTTGTGCTGATAAAAATGTCATGAGAGGGTCTCTAAAATTTTGTTGAAATTATTTACCATAAATAGCTATTGTGATTTATATACATATGAATAAGAAGATGTGGTATGAGTGCCAATGAGACAACTCTCCATCCAAGTCACATATGTATGTATAACTTGCATTATGGTAAACTAAGCCATGATGGGACCTCTTAAATTTCTTTGAAGTGACTTGCCATAAAAAGCCACTGGTTTGCAAAAAATAAAACCACATAGTGAACTGTTGAAGTCAAGGATTATTAAACATCAGTATACATGTACAAAACAAGAAGGTAAACAATTAGTTATATAATTTTTATTTTTCATCTTTTATGAGTTTCTCTCAACAAAAAAAAAACCTAAATTAAACGTGTTACATGTCTCTGTTGTATTGATTTAATATGATAACAAAAAGCAGATACATTTTCAAAATCAAATATTAGTTTGTTTTGCTTCTTTGATCATTCTGTAACTTTAGAAACTTTTCTGTTACAGTATTTGTATCTGTAATTATTAATAAAACATACCGAAAAGTTTCATATCTATGATTTTAGTAAGCATTCTTGCTTAAAACAAAAGCAAGACAATGTTTTACAAATGAAAAGATCGCCCACCAAAAAACTACTATGAAACAAATATAACTAATTGTTCAGTGACAATAGTTTAAGACTTATAAAAAGGAAATACTAGACTCATTTACAAGTAAAATCTTAATAAGTTTCATATTATAAATGGAATTTTTACATTATAAATGCACCAACAAAATATTCTACAACAAACTCTGTCAATTTTAAATATATACTTAAAATTGACTTAATGTTTATTTGCAACTCTAAAAATAATCATAAAATCTATTGAATTACAAAAATAAAATATATAAATAAATTTTTGAGACAGACCCTCAAGGGAATGATCATAACAAAAATTGTTACTACTGCAAATATATCACATCATATATCAACAAAGCACCTAATTGAATGCAATATGGACGGACATAATTATTTATGAAATAAAATGAAAACAGCCTTACTTCACCACATGTCAATTAATTTTATTTGTTAGGATTGCAGTAAGTCAATTCTATACAAGGACATAGAATTCTCCTTTGTATTCCTTCTGCAGTATTTTTTTTGTTAATTTTTGTTGTCAGTAAGATTAAAGCTTTTGGGTTTCATCATGAGTATAACTCTGTTAGTTATTAACAATGAATGAATTAAAATGTATGCGTTAATATAGTTAAACAAAAAAATCTCCTGTGGACCTTTTGAAACAGAATGTTTGTTTGGTAGATGGAGTTTTACAGGGTACACAGTCATGAAACTGCATTTGTTACAATGGTGGAATTATACAAGACTCAAGTATGTATAAACAGCATGATCCTACCATTTTATTATCAAATGATTCATTAAGATGTTTGAAAAAGTTATCTACTGTGAATTCATTTATTTTCGTGGGTACCATTTCTCATGGATTTAGACAACTTTCCTTTGCGTGGATATGTGATTTCATGGTTTTGCCAAAGTTTGCATACAACCTGCTAGAAAATTTGTAATTCGTTGAACTTTTAAATTCGTGGTTCACCTGTACCCACGAAAAACACGAAGATTGGTATCCAATGAATAATAATGATCAAGTCCACAGTATGATTATTTTTGGGTTTTTTCTGTGTCTAATTTTATAGGCAAAATGACCATTAAAAATAGACATATTGATACTCAGTCGTTTTGTGAAAAAAACAAAAAATGTGCTTCCCATTTATACCCTCTAGGTTTGTTCCTTGCTGTTGGAAACCAGACTTCCCAAAATGAAAGTGGGGTCATTTACGGAAGATCATGTATGATAAAGAACCCTTTTTTTTCCTGAATTGGAATAACAAAGAATAAGCCTATAACAATTGGATGTCATTTCATTGAATAGAATTTGTTGGGAAAAAACTTCTATTACCACCTACTACAGTTTTTAAGCATATAAATTTATAACAATATCAAAAGAAACAATATCAATTAAAATAAATCAGTATTCCTCCTTGTTTGTTGTAACTTCGTCACTTTCTAACTGTACTTCCTGACATTTTGTAAAGAACTGGACTGCGTTGTCATAGTAATCATTACTTAACCAGAAACATTGCAGTACATCATCTACATCTTTTCTGTAAATAATAAAACAAACTATTTTATTATGTGGTAAACTTTAATAGACAACTTTATGAGAACAAGATCGAACAACGATTTAACTTCAAACACAGAATATTAATGTAGCCTACATGTCAAGAGTTATATGCAGCTTATATGCAAAAGAATTTGTGAACTAACATACGATGTATTCTAAAATTAGAAATTCAGACATTGCTGACCTTGACATAACTGTTTTAAAATCCTTTTCAAATACTACATGAAAAAAACAACAATGTTTTAGAACCTCACAAATGAATAAATTTATTTCGCTAGTTCATTAAAAATAATGTTAATATATTGATGATAACCTGAAAAATAAAATTTAGTGAGACAATATTCACTTTAGACATTTCATATGAGATTATCCATATTTTAGGACAACTCGAATGGCAATATATACAAAAACATGTAGTAAAAAGTACACATCACTTACATAGATCCTTCACAGAACTTGATATTTATCTTATCACCAACAATACCAGCTATCCAACCTGGTAGATACATATGTTGTTGTTCATCCATCATTGCCAACACATGGTCTCCTACGGCCAGACGATGATGTTTGGTGTATACACCAAATATATGGATGGAGTTTTGCTGAGCTTGTGATCCATCACACCATTCTAGGAGATATTCTCTGCCATTTCCTATTCTCTTCTTTACTGATGCTAAAATTGAAAAAAAGTTTAAAATATTCATGAATGTGTTAAAATAAGTAATCTTAACATTTTTGAATTTTCCACTGGAAAAAAGTTAGAAAACAGTGCTGTTCAGTAGTTGATTTATTTGTTCTTCAATCTAGATCACTAGACTAATATCTAAGGAAGGGAAAGATTAAACTCTTAAATAAATAGGTTTATGATACTCTGATAAATATCAGTACATATAACAATCATGTTATTTAAAAAAAAAAGTTTTTGACTAACTTTAACTTATATGACTCATACTGCCTGTTCATGGAAGAATATTCTGACCAAAGTTACAAAGAAAAATACTGCAAATCATAAGAGTTATCTCCCTTTTAAAGAAATTTCATAGTGCATTCCCTATGATTTATAATTTCTATAAACAGGGGTTAGTGTATAAATTATAAGTAGATGTTGTTATATCTTTAATAGCAATCTGAATAACATATGAAAAATAATTATCTGTACATTTTCCAAAAACAAGTTTTTTTGCTCGAGTTTTAGGTGTAGCAATGATTTAAAAGTCCCTGAATTTAGTCAAATCATCATGGTAATGTTGGGCTTATACAGTAGACATGACAGTCATCATGATTCATATATATATATATCCATTAACTTTTCTAAGTAAGTTTACATTAAAAAAAACTTACATTCTATCATCATTTGTTTGAAAGGATTGGAAAAAAAATGATGATATACTGTGAATTCCTCATTTTTCGTAAGATAATCATTTTTATCGTGGATTATATTGGTTAAGGTTAACTACAAATTAAATTTTCAATGAAATACACATTTTCTATTCTTAAATGCAAAATCACCACATCAAATTTCCACGAAAAATACCTTTTTTTCTCATTCCATGAAAATTGGTATCCATGAAAATAACTGAATCCACAGTAAATTATATGCTCTGAAACTATTATTTCTGGGCACAGCCATTTCATTTGCCAAATCTATCTATTTAGTCTCACTACCAATGATATAATTGAAATATATTTAAGGATATAATATTTTACAGGACAATTGATCCTTGTAGTTAAAGCTTTACCCATCCATCTAGTCTCACATTCAATTATATATCTGACATGTTTTTACCTAAATGATATGTTCCATATCTGTCATCCCGGGCTACAACAGCTTGCTCCACCCATCTTGTCTCACATTCAATGATAAAATTAACATCATGTTCAAACTTTTCTGATGTCAGTTTAAATGCTTCCTCTCTAGGAATCTTGGCTTCTTCTCCATCATAAAATCTGACCTTCATCCACATGTTGTGATATACTTCTAGTATAACTCCAGGGGCATAGCTAAAGCTGTAAAGTGGGTGTAAGGCAACAATTGGATCCTTTGGCTGGAAAAGTTAAATATACTAGTACAAATATAGTATTATAGTTTAAAGAACTTTAGAATATTTCCTGCTTATTTGGCTATCTATAAAAAAGCCATCTCTTAGAAAGTAAAAAAATTGTCTTTAAACAATGAATGAAAAATTATTTTTCACTCTAATCTTGCATGAAGCAAAATATTGTAAATTCAGAATTTTTTGTTATGTTTTTATTATTTTAAAAATTGTGACAGGATAGGTTTCACATAAATAAAAACTCACATTTGAACAATCACAATACTAAATTATTCCCTACAAAAAATTCTGAATTTACAGTTAATATGGTAACTACGGTGGTAAGGCTGAATAGTGTATCATTAATTCCTCATTTCTCAATTCAAAACTATAAGTTTAAGTTAAAAAAAATACAATTTTATTAAGAACAATACTATGGAATTAATAAAAAATATAATTTCATGCTACAGTTACTGTCATAAATCCATGTGTACAAGAAATAATTCTACTGTGTAAGGATCTACCAGCAAACAAATCAGAAAGGCCACACAAACCTGTAATATTTGGTTAGCATCATCATAGTCTGTTATAATATCTTCTCTCCAGATTTTCTCAACTTGATGAGTGGCGTCCTCTACAATATAACTACGATCACCACAATCCTCCCTAACAATACCTAAAATTATAAACAAATATAATTACATAGTTCCATTTATCATGCATGGCTTATCATCTGTTTACAAAAAGAGAACTGAATATCTACCCTTTTTATTTGTTATACAAAGATATGTTTCTATCAATTGTGTATGCCATTTTTGTTCCTATTCACCTTTTAAATATTACAAATATTGTTATTTAAAATCATATGCTTTTACATAAGAAAAATCTCTCTAGTAAAAGTCTTTTCGTAACTGTTGCTTAATCAAAATCAGATACTGCAGGCTATATGTATGTCTATTTTTTAAGTCTATAAATATTGACAGAAAAACAAAGAGTTTCAGTAATTAACTTGAGAAAAGTTATTTGTTGACAAATTTGTGTTAGAAACTGCAAAAAATGAAGTACTTTACCTCTGAAATACCAGCCTTCATCTGACCATCTAGCTAATACCTCCTCTCCTTCTCTTAAATGTGGCAATGATCTTCTTAAAATCAAAATTCCTGGCATTTTCTCATAAACCTTGTCTATAAATAAAAAGCAAAGAGCAACATGTAAAAAAAAATCTATCATGATATTTTTATGGGAAAATATAAGAATACTTTGAAACTAACCAAAAATCTTAATTATTGCTTTGGATCAAGGTGCAAAGCTTTTAGTGTCATTAGATGTTCACACCATCTCGAAATTATTACTTAATAAATTGGTTGATTATGACGTGGCTATAGTTTTGATTGGCTAGAATGAAAAATAGAGTTGGGAACATGTCCCGGACAGGAGAAGACATTAAATACTGAAGGTAAGGAATCAAATAACAGTATGGGTATTCAAGACCAGGATCAACAATTATTGCTTCATGTTGACGTAATTTATGATATAACAAAGACCTCTGTACCATTTAAAAATATCAAATTTATTAAAACAAACCTTTCTCCCCTTGTCTGCTGCTATAATCATCATCAGAATCTGTCTCAGAGGAACTTTCTACTGGGATAACAGGACCATGTGCTAGTACATATCTCTCACTTGTTCTTTCCTGTCTTTTCTTCTTTTTCAATCTCTTCTTCATCTTCTTCATTTTCTTTCTCTGTTGCTTTAGTGCCTACAGAAAGTATACAAGAATAGAAATTATTTGTAATTTGAAATAAAAATGAGTTAAACTTAATAATAAATCCATTTTCAAGAGCAAACACATCGCAAATTATGTTTGATCTTTTATTATATTAACAAATATCGCTCTCTAGTTAAATGTAACATGAGGAATGGTTTTCAACATAAGTTTTCCAAATAGCAAACTATTGAGTAAAGACTTATCATTTTTTACAAAAGTTATAATTTTTCACTTGTTTTCAATGTACCACAGTATGGTAGTAACTTCATCATGTTAGCTGGAATTTTGCTTTAGTGTTTTATAGCTATTCCAATCATTATGTACAACAGTGGGAAACAAGCACATTTCTTCAGATTTAAATTACTAAATAGCAAGTGCTCTTTAACCAAAGGTATATTTATAACAATAGAAACCATGAAAGGACAATGTTTTGTATACTTTTTTGTAAGTTAATCTTAATGTAAACATTAGAATTATAAATCACCAATTGCTGCTGTTCCTGCTCCTCCTGTTGTTTTAATAATTGTTTTCTCAACACTTTCAATTTACGCTTTCTCTTTTTTTCTTTAATTCTTTTTCTTTCCCTTTCCTCTTCTTCATGTTGTCCCAATACAGGAGTAACTGGCCTTTCTATTGGTGATTTCCGTACTTTTGATGACTTAGGCCTCAGAGGAATAGATTCTGACCTTGACCCTGAACTAGAGCTAGAAGATCTCCTTTGTCTTTCTTTCTTTGATGAGTCTTCTGACTTTAATGTTTTTTCTGGTGTTGGAGACCTTGACCTAGATGACACAGATCTGGATCTTGATCTTGATCGTGACCTTGATCTAGAACTTGACCTTGATCTAGACCTAGATCTGGACTGTTTTGGTGACCCAGAGCGTGATCTTGAACGTGATGATGATCGTGACCTAGATCTTGATGAATCTGATGATTTTGATCTTTGTCTTTCTTCCTTTTTCTTAAGCACAGTCTTTTCTTCTTTCCTAATAAGGAATTACAAAAATACTTTAGTGCACTTTGGTTTAGATTAAAAAAAATTGCCTTTAGGCTGGTATAAAGGTGATAACAAGAGTTGCAAACCAATGTCTAAAAATGCACATTTTATTCAAAGCTACATTTAACCTTAGTGAAACCATTCAAAACCGCATTAAATAGTAAAACAAAGATGTACAAATCAATGAAGTAATTACAGTTTTAATAGTTTTATTCCTATAGGTAAAAGTCTTTGCTTATTGATCAATATACATGATATAAAGCTTTTTATAATTGAACTTATATGTTGTTACATTTTTCACACCTGTCATTTGAGCTTCTCAGTAATACTTGTTTCTAACTTATGACACAACATGGTTAGCAATTACTTTGCTAGTATCACTTTAAAGGGTCATTAGCTTCAACTATTATGATTTTTTTTTATCTCAAATATTTATACAAGCTGAACATTGAAATGATACTTTGCTATTAGCAGTCAGTTTGGTTAAATTTTGTTAAAATAAGGACAAAAACATTGCTTATCTATTAATGGCTTGCAAGTCAATATTTCAACAATCCATATTCATGCCATCATTTGATTTAATCTTTGTTGGAGATGGGTTGGGCACATATTGCATGTACAGTGATTAAAACGAATGTCAATTGAAAAAGTGAATTAAGGGATTGCAGCAAAGGAAGACCAATTCAGTTGATTAATTTGGTCCGCAAAAAAATTAAGTCTTATACAGGTTATGAGCAAAGAATTTACATTTAATTTTATATATTTTTATGTATTCAATAAGATCAAAATAAGAAATTCGACCATTATGGCTGCACATGCTACCTGACTGTATATACTTATAATTACAAGGAAGTAACATGCTAACTGCCAGTTTCCCTGGGTCATGTCACTAGTGAATTAGATGGGGTCCAGTCAAAAACACACATGAAATGTTGAAAATCTATAATGATAATTATGATACTAATTGTTGTGTATTGTTTTTCTATGGAAATTTTGTAGTTCAGCAGGCAAAAATTTGGCAGCAAATGCCCCTTTAAAGGATGCATTTTGAGGAGAAAGATATTCTTATCATGAAATTTACAGCATAGTGTATCTAAGTTCTTATACTGAGTTAACCTATTTTATAACTGAGTTTATTTTTATAATACTTATTTACCTGCAGTCATGTAATTTAAAGTGTTTGGATGTATTCATTTCCTGATGCTATATTTAATCCCATAGAATGTAATCATCATGACCCATATGTCATTCTTATTGACCTCACTTTATATATCAGTATAGTTATCTACAATAACATTATTTTTTACCTCACTTTTTTCTGTTTATCTGAAGGTCGTGGAGTCCTTGGTGTTCTTGGAGTGACATACACTTTATCTTCATATCTGTTAGTAAAAATAATAATTTTCTAAATTTCTTGCCTACATTATATAGGAGTTATTGTAATAAACTTTTTTGCACTGGTGTCTTTCTTCTTTTCTGTTGATATACATGTACATTGTATATGTTTCTAAATTAATCATACATTTAAGGCTTAAAATAAAACACAATTTTTATATCAGACATTACTGACTGAGCAAGTCAAATTATGAATAAATTCAACATTATAATAGTGGAATATAATCTTTTTATTTATACCAAAAATAAGCAGCATTCTGACTAGATTACGGTGAAAAAGATACAATTATAACAATATATCAAATAATAATTTCTTTGAATACACAAGCCTTTAATGTCTGTTATATGTATAAAAGACCTTATCATTTTCTGCTTTAAGAGTTGAAATGAATGTTTTACAATCTCTTGAGTGTAATACATACTTTTTGCTGTCGACATTCTGTATATCAGCAATATATCTAATGGCAAATTCAAATCTACATTTACTGATCTTCATCAATAAATTTCTTGATGTTGTTGCCTGAAATGTTTGAAAAAATGTTAACCTGAAGATAAATGAAAAAAAAACAGACACAAAATAGTTTTTGATTTGCAAATTGAGCTTTTATATTATAGAATTTATTCACTTCAAATGAAAATTGTCTAGCGATCATAACAAATATCATGAATATATTTCATATCTTTATATGACTTGCATCTATCTTATTGCATCTGTGGGGTTTGTGTTGCTCAGTCTGTAGTTTTCTATGTTGTATTTTGTGTACTGTTGGTTGGTTTTTTCATTGTTTTTCGTTTTTTGTAATGGCATTGTCAGTTCGTTTTAGACTTATTATGAGTTTGAATATCCCTTTGGTATCTTTCGCCTTTCTTTAATATTCCCCACTTCAACCTATTACCATTTGACATTGGTATATTCAAAATTTAAAATCAAACAAAGTAAAGAATGACATATATTGCTCAATTACATTTCCTGGTATCATAAGCTAGCTGTCCCAGTTTATTATGGGTGTCAGTCCCAACGGTAATATTTTAACTTGAATACTGGCTCATGGGCCTTTGATAATAAGCCATACTTACTTCACATTATTTCAAATAGACAACAAGATGCTGTCAAACCGAGTTATTCTTACATTTATTAGTGTCATTGTTAAAACAATTAAGGACCATAACACCTGACTAGCAACAGTGAAAATCATCAAATCTTCACCTCTATATTGCCATCAGTTTTAACATATTTAAAATTTGTACAGCATTGGTTTAACAGTTCTCAAGTTATTGCACAGAAACAACAAAGTGCCATTTCCTAATCAATCAAGAACCATAACTCCAGAATGACAACAGTGAAAAGGGTTTTAGCCTTAAAAGGGTCAGTTAAATTTTTTTGCTGTGTTCATTTTTCCTGTTCCAGAGCTTTATATATATATTTAAATGGACAGTGAAATACTTGGGTGTGGTATTTTCACTGTAAAATGTCTTCTGCAAAAAAAGCAATAATTGAAAACTTGCAAAAATTCACCAATATACAGTACATGTATATAATAAAAGTTGTTAAAATTAGAATCATTGTTGATCTTACCAAAGGTATTTACCAGAAACCTCAAATTTACAACTTCACAACTATTATAGCATACCACATAAATTATCAGAACAAAAGTAATAATTTTAAAAGCTGGTCATCCTTAACTTGTGTTGGAAAAGCATAATGTTTCCAAAATTTCACATGGATATATCAGCCAACAATTAACTCTACCTGTTGTCCATTGAACATGAGCACTGTGTAGAATTTATTTGAGGCCTCCTCACGTACTGGTATCACTTGTACAATACCAGGAACATAACAGTCAGACTTATCACTGTTATATTGTACTCTCACCAACACACAATCACCTGCCTATAAGTAAGATATAATCATGTTTAGATACTATTTTTGTAAAATATATAGCATGATACATATTTTCCATTGCAGATCTAAGCGATTTAGTATATAATATTAAAGAACGCACTTCTATTCTTCTAAGAGGGTTTAGTAGAATTCTTACAGTTGTCAAACATAAACATATTATTTTTCAATAACGGATAAAAGCAATGAAAAAGCAGTTTATTCATTTGTGAAATTTGAGGTTGAAAGTCCTCCTTATTTCATAACATGTACTTCTTTAAATCATCGATTAAAATCTTGTAAATGTCATCTGATGTGGATTCTTTGGAATTCTACCTATTTTATATATTTTTATCCTGGTCAATTTCATTAATTGTTTTGAATGTCACATAAACATGATTAAGTATTTATAAAACGATGACTATTTTTCTGTTCATATCATGCTGCAATGTATAGAACCTAGTTTTAAATAAGCACTGAAATTTTGGTCTCTTGCATACCTGCTCAAGGTTATAAAAAAACATATATTGTGCTCACAGAAATCAAACTGTACATTTTTTTTACGAATGTTTAGAAATAATTACCCTTAACAAAGGCACAGGTATAGCACCACTCATTGCAATAACAAGTCTGGTGGGAACAGTTCTCTCTTCCTTATCTTCAAACTGTATAACAGCATGTCTTGGATCTGGACACCTTACAACTGTCCCTGTAATTATAAACAGAGGCCTATAGATCTTTGTTTCAACTTCAATATATCTACTCGTCAAGGACCTCATTCATCTCTCCAATGTTTATAAGTCCATGTAGTAAATAAAAGACCAGTGTTCAAATGTCCTTCCGCAAAATACTTATATATGTCAAAGGTAACAATTCCAATACATTTTTTTTAGTTCTTTTTAAAAAAAAAATCATAAATATGCTTCAAGAAATGTAGATGTGAGATGGCTTACAATGCAATTTTATATATAATTTGCATTTCCAAGGGACATAACTCTTATAAAAATAGTTGATCTGCACTGATTATGGAACTTACTCATTTAAAACTGATATAAATTTCATAAAAATCCTACAACAAATGTAAGCGTGACAAATAGCATCTAGTACATGTTGTTAATATAATCTACATTTCCAATTATAAAAATCTAAGCGTGACGCGGGATTGCCGATTTTTTGTAAGCGTGACACGTGAAAGTCAAATTATTGTGCCGTGAAAACGGGAAATAAAGTCTAGCGGGATACGAGAAATTACAAAAAAAATGAGAATTGCTTACATACATATTGTAAGTGGGATACGGGAATTTGACAAAACAGTAAGCGGGATCCGGGATCAGAACCCCCCCCCCCCCCAATGAGACCCCCTTTACAATCCATTCTAGTGACAGATTTTTGTCTGAAAAAAAACTATGTAGTTAAGAATTATTATAAAATGTAAGTGTTTGCTCATAATAATGTATGAGCACTGCACAGTGAATATGAAATTTTCATTATTTATTTATCATGTTATGTTGGGATGCAGACTCTTTGATGTTTACCATTTACACCTTTTATCTATTCAAAAATATATTTTCATCAACAGGTGTATAATTTTTCATTTTCCACATATATATTTATACATAAACTGCAGGATTTTAACCAATAATCACTGTATCCATATCAATCTTTCCACAACTTAATATTCTTGTTGCATGCAAAGCAGCTTTTACTGAAGTTCATTAATTATGAAATGAACTTTCAGATTTAATTTACTTTCTGATTAGATCAATAACTAAACTGACTTTAAGGAGAAAAGATAACATTGGAGTAATAGATTTTTAGCTATATAAAAATTTCAAAAGAAGCCAAACTGGATACTGGATTTAGAAATTGTAGATTGTCTAAAATAACATTATCACAGAAAATTATTCATTTTTTAAAGAATTCCATGCTTTAAGTTTTAAGCTTTAAGTTTTAAAATATGCAAGTATATGATTTTGCATTTGATGCCATTCAAATTGTAGGTAAATCCATATTAAACTGTGATGTTGCTATTCATCATACATATGTTATATGACTTTTACTGTGGAGGTCATTATAGAAAAATAAAAGAAGATATTGTCAATGAGATGAAACCTGATGACATACATTTTTTTTTTCTTTCAACACTCAGATTTTACTCTCCAGAAAATTCCTTAAAATTAAATATTCAGATTAGCAACATAATTTAGATTATAGGATAGCTGAGGAAATAAGCAGTATTATTCTTCAGTATATGTTCCTTACCGGGATAGTAAAATCCATCTTTATCATTCCTAGCAATGACACTCTGTCCTTTCAATGTGTCTAAAACTTTCCTGATGATAGCTGAATTAAACTGTATCTTCTCCATCTTATTGTCGTACACCTTCTCAGGGTGTGACTTCATTACCTGGCTCAAACTCTACAAAATAATTCAATGGATTTGAAATCACTTGTCATGTGAAAAAGTTTCTTATTTCAGTCAAGAAATGATAATTTAATTTTAAAATCAATTGAATACTATTTAGTTATTGTGTCAAATGTTATTTAAATCCATGAATGGACATTTTGCACATCTAACTTAAATTTGTTACAATGCAGTAAAATACTAAATGACAGGTATTATATATATATTGTACTAAATGCATAACTGATCTACCACAAGCTAAATTTATTCAATACTTTGAAACCATCAAATATGATGTTGAACTCAGAGCTATAAAAACAAAACATACACGGTATGATTGTCAATGAGACAACTATCCATCAGAGACCAAAAGACGCCTAATTTTGCCGATACAGTAATATTTTAAATTCAATATTTATCAATATTCCTACCAAGCAGATATTGTTCCTAGAAATGTGAATACGATAAAACCTGTAATGGAAGATTGACTGATCCTGTAAATTAAATAACCCCCGGTATTCATCATAAATTCACTAAACAAAGCATTTTTAAAGAATGTACAATACAAAACAATTCATGAATGACTTCACAGAAATTAATTAGTACATGTGCAAATTACAATGATTTAAACATTATGTCAAATACACTCAAGTCAGTCTGTGCATTGTGAATTTAGTGGTATTATTATATGACAAGCTATTTTGGGGATTCTAACAACTACTGTGATCATTGTGGAAAGAGTATTAAACTGTTAGCAATAACTCAAAGTATATTTTTTTCTTTATAATGAAGAATAAAAAGTTTGTAATTTGTTTAAAGTTAATAATTAAACAGCAAATATATCGTCCTATAAATATATCAGATCAACATGATCAAGTTACAATAAAAGTGTGATGCCAAAATATTTTTTTTAATGATTTTGCATCTATGCAATTTTGACACGATAAATACCGTTCCCCCTTAAAAAAATGGGGCCTTTGTGGCTGAGTGGTCAAAGTAGTCACTACTGTATCACTATCCTGTCAACACTGAAGTTGTGATGTTAAACCCTGCACGTGGCAGACGTGCTTGACTCCAACCTTAATTGACTAGAATAGTCAGTTTTCCTGTCGAAGGTCGTGGTTCTCTCCAGGCAGTCCGGCTTCCTCCACCAATAAAAACTGACCGCCACATAATAGCCAATAGGGCTGAAATCGGTGTTAAACAGCAATCAATCACCCCCCCCCTTAAAAAAATATATATGTTGTTGCTTTTTAAATTCCTCATTGAATAAAAATTGTCATTTTTTTATAATAAAATCATTACTTTGACAATGCAACAACATATCAGTTTTATTAAAACTCATTGGACTCGTTTTGGAAAAGGAAGAATCAAAGGAAAATTTTGAGATACCATTTAAAAATGAATTAAGGACTAGAATAATTTCAATGTATATTTTTTCTTCTTCACAAAAATGCTATATGATAATATACTTTTGTGGTTTCATTTGTAATTTGGATGACAGCTGAACATTTTTATCACTCATTAAAGAAAATGTGGTCTGCCTAACAAACATATGAATTCTCCTTGGTCATGTTTCAATAAACTAGGCTACCGATAATCATTTGTGTCAGTTCAAAACAACCATGTCACAGAAACTAAAACAGGTTTCAATTTCCACTGTCATGATCCAAAATTTAGTACCATATTGTACAGACAATTAATTTTGTCACAGAACTTACCCCTGATGAATCAGATTTGTTTTTCAATATCCTCCTCTTCCCGTTTCCATTCCTGCTCATTTCATCATAATACCTGAGAATGTAGTCTTTATAATGATTTTGAAGATGAAATCCCTCTAATTTGTCTTCCATCTCCATCTTGCGACTAATTTTGTAAATGTATATCTTGTTATGGACTTTGCGTATGAGAGCCTGGCAGTACTGCAATGGTGTTATGACTTGTTTAAAAATGTTATGTCATTAATGTTGCATGATAGAAAGCATTAATATTTTAAAGTTAGAATAAGGAAAATCAAGAGATTTGGCATGCATTACAATTTCCATTCAGTACATCAAGAAATAGATAGTTTTATAGATTTAAAGTCTTAATTTGTGTTATAGGATAGATTAAGAGTTCAGACAATACTATGGTAATATTTGACAGGAGAAATACAACATGGTGAATACCCCATATCCATTATGGATGGATACCACATATCCTTTGTTTTTCTATTAAATTAAAAATACTACTGACACAAGTGATTTATGAAGCAGAAAATATGAATAGTGCAGTCATGGATTCAGAAAGGGGTGCACCAGATAAACTCAGTCATTTTTGTGTCAAAATAAGGACCTTTAATTACTAATTCTCAGGAACATCAAATCATGGATCCCCGGCTGCAGTGTACAGTTTGTCTATGTGTGATTACTATTATTTAAAAGTTCAGTCATCAGTAAAAGTAAATTTCATTATGTTTTTAGCTTTGGTTTCGTGGGAAAATAGTAAACTTATCAACCAATAATAGTTGGCTTTTGTATGGGTGCATACAGATAGAAAGACAAATTTAATGTATCTGTTCATTGTGTAATTATTTATAAATTGTGTATAACAGATGGTGAAAAAGAAGAATTCATTTTATTAATATAGCATAATTGTATGGTGGATTGGACATATTCTTAACTTAAGTTTTAATCTGTGTGGTGAAGGATATTACATGTATTTTATTCAAGTTCTTGGAGGTGTGCTTCATGTACATTGGTAGAATTTATATAGACACAGAAAAGGCCAAATACAAATGAAGTATGCATAAACTTAATGGATATTTTCGCAAATTTGCTGCATGAAAGTTGATTTTTAAAATCTGGTGTTTCTTTTATTTTTGTTAAACGATGTATGCGTAGGAACTATTTTGTTTTAAATATGTACTGCTTTTCAGTATGTTCTTTTTTAACAGGCCCTGCATGATTTGGTGGTGTTACATCTTACAAAGTCTACCCAAATTATATTGCAAAGAATTCTTCTGAAACCAGTGCTAGGGGCTGTCTTAAACTGGTCACACAATACTAAAAACCATATTCAATTTGTCCCAGTTAGTCGACCCATATAAAAATAAGGAGATGTAGTATGATGCCAATGAGACAACTATCTACCAAAGTTCTAATAAAGAGGATGTAAGCAATTATAGGCAACCATACTGCCAGTTTGTTTTTGCTTTTATTATGACACACAAAATTATGGTAAAATGTTTTATTTCCACAAAATGGCATGCAAACAGGAAATTAAAATGGAGTTCAGACTTGTTTATCTGACTTGGCTACCACAGTCAAAGCAGAAAAACACCCTTTGAACTATAAAAAAATACAAGGATGAGATGTTACAGTCCTGCAGTCGTGGTCCTACAGCTAGCTGTTACAGTCCTGCAGTTGTGTTCCTACAGCTAGCTGTTACAGTCCTGCAGTCGTGGTCCTACAGCTAGCTGTTACTTACATTAGATTAGTTCATTAAAAGAAACACAAAATCGAAAGTAAAGAAAAAAGAAAATGAACCTCACAGTGACATGTTGAAATGAGTGCCGCTTACAACTGTACAAGTGAAGTAGATAGTGATACCGAAATTGTTTTGATTGTAAGAAAGAAAACACTAGAAGAAATTGAATAAGGATAAAAATACAACAGCTCTTTATGCACGTAAATGGGAGTTAAAAATACAACTGTACCTGAGACTTCAATGAAATACACGTCTCATTTCTTCTGCTATGAATAAATTTTACATGATGGACGAACAGAATAGGTAACTAAATATTGATTTATCAATTTAAGCCAAACATCAACGCTTTGGACTTTGCATTTAAATTACAATAAGACGGTTAAAATTGAAGCTGTTTATGTATCGTCTTGACGACAGGTGTTTTCTATATAGAGTTGTCTACTCCTGATAGGCCGAGAAAAAATATTGTTTTACCTCCCCTTTGGCGGGCTTTATGAATTGCCATTAAAAAGTTATTTTTTCTCTAAAAGATATGATTTAAATAGTAATTTTTCTCACATGATTGAAAAAGTAATATATCGATTTCAGCAACACAAATACATAATAATGATTAAAAAAAAACATGGATTTAAACAAGGATTTGTATAGTATGTCTTACTATACAAATATTTGATTTAAAGAAAAAACATTTTTCATGTTATTTTAAAAAGCGAGTTCACAAACTTTTGGTTGAAATGGGAGTGGTGACAGGAGAATTTTGTTTGCAGACAGGATATCCATTTCAGCATGTTGCTTAAGTCTGTATTATCTTTTGTGGAGATGAGCTGCAAGAAAATTTATTTTAACTTTTACTTTCTCCATTTTGTTGGGCAAAATGTTTCGACTTGGGTCATGCACATAAACTTGTGAAAACAGGGGAAAAACTTGCTTTTCAATTTTTCAAAACCCCCACCCACTTTCCTGTTAATTGGTTTCAATGCCAAGCCTGTTATTGACAGCGAGATGAATATAATCATTAAATCTCAATATTAAATTATGTGAGATGAAACATGGATTGCAGAGCCACAAAGGGGCATTTTAAAGTTTACAAGCCCCAATTTTTACTTAACATTTTGTGTTTAATATTTTAACTTGATTTATTTGTTTATGTTCTTGTTCTTATCCATGCGATATAACAATAGCAGTAGTTTATAGATGCTGCCCCTCTTTTCTTATAAATTACTGTTATACCTGTAATTGTAATCTCATAATTAGATTTTCATTTGAGCATTAACAAAAAAATCAGAATGAAATCTATATCTAGTTTCAATAAAATCAATGATAAAACTTCCTTGATATAGAGTAGTTACCCAGATGGTATCAGAGAGAGAAAAGTATTGTTGTAGGTGGCAAAAAGCTTTTAGTTATGACAATAAAGTATAATCTATAAAAAGAAGTTTCATTTAGCCCGAAAAAACTTTCTGATATTCTGGTATGGTAGTTTTACATGGCATAAAAAGTATGCTATGTTTTGTACATAAATCAGCAGGTCAGTTTTCTTGTTCGAATTGTTTGACATTTTATCATGTTAGCCTTTTATAGCTTTGGTCTATGATATGGTATAGTGACCTATAGTTGTTTAATCTACCTTGTTTGGGCTTTGGTGGATAGTTCTGATTTTTTATGCATGTACAATATTCTGGATGTCACAATGTTAACATAAAAGTATTATTCCTAATAAGTCTCTGTAAATCGCATGCTTAGCCTTGACTGGAACAATTATTTTCCAGTTATCAAATATTCTCTTGATTGAAACATAACAGTGATAATTACTGTGATTCTTTGGGGGTTATACTGAACAGTTTAGCATATAGTAAACATATGATATTTGAACCAAAGTCGATACTTTTCTTCGAGATAAAAAGTGAACTCTGCTTAAATTCTTGATTAATGTTTAGATGTCAAACACTGTTATTTCTAAACAAATAGAAAAAGACAAATTTATCTGTATGAATTAAAAAATGAAAAAAACACACCTTACCAATTTTCTCTGAAAATGTTGTTGCTTTTCCTCTCCATATTTTCACACTTTAAAGGTGCTAATGAAGTTTTTATATTAATTCTGTTTTGTTTAACCTGATAAAAATTTCAAATCAATTTTGGAATTTAGTGTTAAAGCTTCCAAACAAACAAGAACTTCAGAATTAAGAAAATATATTTACTAATATTCATAGCAACACACTTTCATCTAAGAATAATTATCTATAAGTATGATGGAAAGCTTGTCTTCCCTTAACTAAATTGGACAAGAATTGACACACTGAAATATTACGTCTGATTAAATGCTATCAGTCATGGTCTATTCGAGAGTAAATGAAGATTAAGGCATTTTTACATGTATCACAAAAATTTCCATGAAACATGGAAATGAGGTTAAGAGTCAGATGAACTCTTTCAAAGAGACATGAAACATGGACATCTTACAATGATTTTATAGATGTAGATTACAGGTTTCTTATAGTAACAGAGAACTGACCAAATCACAGAAACTGAACTTTGATCAATGAACAAAATAAATCAGTTCAAAGATCAGGTAAGCCCTGTCAGGAGATAATCAATGCTTCTATTGATTGATTGGGGTTTAACAACACTTTCAGAACTATTGAGATATTTTGTGGGGGTTAACAATGCTCCTATAAATCAAATATATTTGACCTATTACTATTAGTAACTGATGAAATAACCTTATCAGGAAAACTTAACATTGATCAATGAGCCATGCAAATTAAGTCAAGGTCAGATGAACCCTGTCAGACTGAAATTTGCCCCTTACAATGGTTCTTTTGGCCAAGAAGTGAGTGATAAACTGACCTTGTCAGATAAATTCAGTCTAAAAGAAATGCACATGTTGCAATAATTTTATAGACCTTATACTTACAGTACTGTAGATACTAGCTTACAAGTTCGTAATTTTGGAATAATATAATAGACGAGTCACAGAATATAAGTAATAGGGATGCTAATACACCAACAGTAGTGATAGCATAAGCTATTTGTATTCACTTTATTTTTAGGAGGGGAGAAAGAATATATAATCCATACCTTGCAAACAGATGTCCATTGATCTGATGTTAAATTTCTATCAGCATATGTCTTTTTCTTAATATCATTTTCATTTGCTCATGTGATATTTTTCTAAATTTTTATAAAGGCTTCAAACCAGGTAAACAATAGAGTGCTTTAATTTATCTAACAGGGTTGGCCTGGGTAACATGAAAATTATCCTCTTCTTTAAGGTTTGAGATCAGAATTATTTCCTTTCATGCATATCTTATATGGTTAACCACACAATATAAAGTCATACTGAAATGGGATTTATGCAGTCAAACCTTCATATAAAGGCCACCCTTGTGACTAGAGAAAACTGACCTTATTAGAATGGTAACTTTTGAATTGAGGTTCGAAATCAAATGTTTTACTACAAGGGAAAAAGAAGAGGATGACCTTCACAAGTTTTCAGCTAATAGAGGTTACCTTTATAGCAGGTTTGACTAGACTTAATTTTCTTCTATTCTATCTTTATGACTTCACAAGTTTTCAGCTAATAGAGGTTACCTTTATAGCAGGTTAGACAAGACTTAATTCTCTTCTATTCTATCTTTATGACTTCACAAGTTTTCCGCTAATAGAGGTTACCTTTATATCAGGTTTGACTATACTTAACTCTCTTCTATTCTAACTTTACTAAATCTAGTTACCCAGTAAGTCAAAGTTTATTCTTCATGCATACTGTGGTAAGTATGTTCATTTAAGTTTTTTGTGTTGTTGGTTTGCTGGGTCATTGACGTTTACTCCACATCTACTTTTATTCATATAAATATGTTTTTCATAGGAATAAGAGCAAATTACTTTATTAAAGTATTTTTACCTCGTGAAAATATTACCTAGAAAAATGAAATCATCATTTGCACTTATTACCTGTAAGTTGGAATAAATAATTAGAGAATTTATTTTTTAAAGTTTATTTGATAAAATTTCTACATCTTGAGCAACATATCACTATCTTCAAGGCAGAAATAACAACAACTATTCATATCACAATTCCATAACAATGTGCCTATTTGCTTCACTTAATCTTTATCAAGGTCAAAAATATGATGTATACACCTAACTTCCCTCTTGCAAAAGTTTCATTTAAAACTTAAATTAAATGTGATATGGGCAATTCCATTAACTTGTTTTTTATACAAAATTTTACATGCCATTTTCTACTTTTTTATGGTAACACTTGAATGTCTAATTAATCAGTATATAATGACAGTTGTTATTTTGCCTTTAAAAACATCTATAAAAAATTAATATATTCATATTGAAATTCCAAATTTAAAAAATTTCTGTAAACAGGTTATCATATTTAAAATGTATCCGAACACGTATGCCAAGATATTCAATTTCATTTTCATAATCTTTTACACAAATTTAAAACGAAAGTGGACTCAATAAATGTACTCAATTTTCTTTCTCTGAAGGACAAATGGCATAAACAAAATTTGGATGAAAGATTAAAAGCCTCTATTAACTATCAACTACAAGGATAATATTATTCTTTTCAAGAAAAAATCTATTTATTGCATATAAATAATCAACCATAATTTCTCAAAACGTGATTTGTATTAATTTGTTACAGTTTCCAAATCTAGCTACAAAACAAGGACAGAAACCATAATATCATTGTCTGAAAGACTTTATTTAGTAGAAGCTTTCTAAAAAAAAATCTATCAAAGCAAAGCTGAATTAACCAATTTATAGTTTAAAAAATGCCTGTCATTTCTAGTTTGTAAGATATACAGAGGGATTGATTAGAAACTGGAGAAATATGCTTTAAGTGCATTCAAAGTTCAACTTTACTATATATATTTTTAACTACACTATTTGATTTCTGACATGTATGTTAAAAAGTTTGTCAATATGTATGTGTACGCAAGCTGTTTGCAATGGTAATTAGTTATTAAGTAGGCATTTAAGTTATGTAATTTTTCTAAAATAAAAGAATGATTTTATGAATTAAACACTACAGGTATTGCTTAAAACTTTTAAATTTTAGAGCTACCCATTCAAAACTTGCTAGTTAACGAGTGAGGAACACACTGTTATATTATCCTCCACCAACGAATAAAAAATAACGTAAAATATATAGACAAATCTTCAGAGACAATTTGTATTAAAAAAAAAGACAATTGATTATCAGTGACATAAAAATACTGTGACAAGCTGAGCAGCTGGCTTAATTCAGTGGAAAATCTGAGCAAAAAAAAAAAATTGACATGTGAAACATCAAAACTAATGTGATCACTGCAAGATTAAAAAAAATTGACGAGACAAACAATATTCTGTAATCTTCAGTGGATCAGGAATTCTGTCGAAATAAAATTTGATGGACACTTTATTTTCAGTACTTTTTAAAAATACTCACATTTTGCTTTTGAGCTAATTTGGTAATATTTAAAATAAAATCAACTTGTAAATAATCTCCAAGAAGCATAAGCACTGATGTTGTTTATACAATATTATGCAGATATATTTGAAGCAAATTCAATACTGAAGAACTGATTACACATTTTCCTTTAACTAAAATATGCTAAATTCTAAAAAAAAAAAAAAATGCAAAAATATATACTTCATATTAATAAATTTTCATCTAATCTTACTGAAAATAGCTTTTTATTATTTTATAATGAATAGCTGAAGCAGAAAGTTTACAGAAACACAGAAATTTATCCTTAACGATACATAAAAAGCAAAGTACATTTTTTTGCCCAAAAACATGGCTATAGTTTTTTTAAAGAATATGTGTTACATTTTCATACACTGAAATTTTACTCATCATTAAACTGCATGCAAATTCTAATGCAATATGTTGTAAATTAAATGCTAAAATAACTACAAAGCATAGTTCTAACACATACAAAGTCTCTCTTTACAACATTTTAATACTGATTCACACTGACTAGTTTCTACTATAGACTTATACTACATCTCTTTAGGCAGACAATAATACACAATATATATATTTACATGTTAGTGTATGATTAGCTAGAATGTTTGAACAGAAAACAAGATATAGAACATAGAATAGATGCATTAAGTGTTTTCTTTGGCCTATACAATCTTAAGAATTAAAATGCTTGACAGATAAGGTTTCAAGTCCAAATGTTTTTTTCTTCAAATAATATGAATATTTACTTACAATTTCTGTACAAAATAAGAGACATATAGAATTTTCATTCTTGTAATGGCAAATTTGCTGTTTTGACACATCTTTAAATTCTTGACATTGTTCATGCAAGATATCATTCAATATTTTCAAATTAAGCTCAAAAGATGTAAAAATGAAGGTCCTTTCATATACCAACTTAATAGTTACTTCTCTTGACAAAAGAAATACTTTCATTGTGACATTATGACTACTAAGGGACTTTTTTTAAATTAGTATTATATGACTTAAAAGAAAAATCCTAAATTTAATCTATAAATTTCCAGTAAAAAACAGTAAAAATCAGGCCAATACTAGTAATACACTTACTGCAACTACTCTTTTACCTGACTATTAGAGAGATTTGTATTTAAATTCTTTGCTAAGCAATTTGTGCAAAGTTTATAATGAGTTGGCAGTATGAATTTTATAGTCATTATAGATATAATCTGTTTTGTTACCCTTTGTACAAAAACAATTTTAACAATAATAACAAGCTTAACAAGACAACAGATTGACAATAATCATTTAACTACTTTGACACTTCTGTACAAAAGTACAAAAATACATCTAAACAAATAAAATGTAAAACACAATAAAAATATAAAATTCAAATAAATATAGAAATTCTGAAAAAAATGGATGGATTGCTTTAAGTATAGAAATATCAACTCTTAAATTTCTTAGCTAGAATATAAAAAGGACGGATAGTCAAACTCAGAAAACATTAAAATAAAACCATAAATGCAGTAAACCTTTTATATATATCTCGTGACTGTGCCTGGTTTGAATGAAATTGCACAGCTGAATAAATAAAATGAATAGAAAATTTCATTAATTCAATCATAATATTTTCATTTGAAAATAAAACATATCAAAAGTATGTAATACAGACAAAAACTTGTTCAGTCTACAAAAATCTAAAAATATTGATAAAATATTTTCAAAAAATCCAAAACTTTTTCAAACACCTCCTAGGTTTGCTGGTGATATTTTTCTGACAATTAAGTTTTATCAATTTTCTACTGACATGTTAGTCATTAATATTTTGTTGGAAAACAATTTGTTTCTTTAATTTTTTGTAAACCATACAATATACTATACTCCTGACAAGTGTAAAATCATGCGACATCTTTAAGGAGCACTTAGTTTTTAAATGTTATATATAGATACATATTTTTTGTTTCATGCAATATTTTCCTAACTATTTGTTCATTATGTACTATCAGCAAACTCTAAATAACCTGCCATCACAGGTGACTAACATTATATTGTTTATTCATTCCCTATACTAAGCCGGTCTGTTTAATCAAGTCATGCTTTTGTGTTGCACATTCAAGTGTGACTGACCTCGAAAAAGTCATGTGTACTCTTATCAGTTAGGCTGGAGGCAACACTTGCTTTATCATCATAGACATTTAAATCATCATCCTCTTTCCTGTCCTTGCTTCTGTCACTTCTGACACTCCTGTCTCCTTTGTCACTCTTGTCACTTCTAACACTTCTGTCACCCTTGTCACTTTTCTCACTCTTGACGCTCTTGTTTCCCTTGTCACTATGGTCGCTTCGACTGTCATCACTTTCGCTGTCGCTTGAGCTAGAACTTGATGACTTATCTTGGTCATCCATATCCATTACACGCTCAAGTAAATTATCGTAACTGTCTTTTCGTCGAGGGTCTGAGGCTCGGCGAAGGTCTTTTGATTGCTGTAGAAAATTATTTGCTCTAGTGATTTCTTCTTCTAGTAATATAATATCATTTTCTTTGATTGGCCAACCAGCATTATCTAATGCATCCAATAATTCATTGCGATTCTCCTCGAATGGAACAGGCTTGTCTGAATCAAGTCTAAAAATTAAGAAAACACCGAGTTGAATAATTTAGTTTTACCAATTTTTGTTGTTTAATTTCTTTAAAGTTATTTGTGTTTGTCAGGAATTACTTTCAGAAAACAATTTGTTGCGACCACATGAATATCAAGAGTGCACACATTAAAATGTCTCGCCTATTTTACTTATCATTTAACATTGAATTCATGTTGAAAGTCTGTAATATAAAGGTTTTACTACTACCAAGTATCACATAAACTTAACATTATCAATGTTCTATGAAAATGTGGTCACGGTCAAATGAACCATGCCAGACAGACATTCACACATTGCAATCTTTCCATACACCAAACGTAGTGGTCCTATTGCTAATAGTATCTGAGAAACAGATCAAACAACAAAATCTTAACATTGTAAGATGAACGATGAAAATGAGGTCAAGGTCATATGAACCCCGCCAGACAAACATGTACACTTTACGATCATTCCATACACCAAATATAGTTGACCTATTGCTTATAGTATCTGATAAACTGACAAAATTACAAAAACTTCTCTTTGACCAATGAACCATGAAAATGAGGCCAATGTCATGTGAACCCTGCCAGACAGACATGTACACTTCACAATTAATCCATACACTAAATATAACTGACCTATTGCTTATAATATCTGAGGAATAGACTAAATCACAAAAACTAAAATTGTCCAATCAACCATGAAAATGAGGTCGAGGTCAGATGAAACCTGCCAGATGGATATGTACATCTGACAATCATTCCATACACCAAATATAGTGGACCTATTGCTTATAGTATCTGGGAAATAGACCAAACCACAAAAACTAAACATTGAACCATGAAATTGAGGTCAAGGTCAGATGAAACTTGTCAGTCGGACATGTACACCTTACAATCATTCAATACACCAAATATAATTGACCTACTGCTTATAGTATCTGAGATACGGACTAGACCATGTAACTTTAACCTTGATCACTGATCCATGGAATAAGGTCAAAGTCAGGTGAACCCTACCTGAGAGACATGTAGAAGTTATCCTATAACTCATGAGTATTTCACTTAACAAAAAAACTGTAATTTTTTTCAAGCAGTCAATGAACAATGAAAATGAGGATAAGAACAGACAGAAACTTCGTAACATAAGGTATCTGCACACAAGGTATGAAGCATCCAGGTCTTCTACCTTCTAAATAATAAAGTTATAAACAAATAGTTTATGCCGCCGATGGATTATAATATCTATGTTTCGCATACTGCGACAGAAGTTGCAGGCAAGACAAAAATTACTTTTTATGAAAATGAAATGAATATAGTCAATATCAGAAAAATCTTAACTCAAAATATTTTTTATCTAATTTGAGTTGACATTTTAACAATCTAACTTTCCAACAGAGCTTTTATATTTATAAACTGTTTAACAGATGAATTATTTCAGTCAACAACCAATCAACTTCATCTAATAAAACTTTTGGACTATTTGTAAATAATTATGTTGAAATACCTACTTTTTGCGTTCTTCTTCCGGCAGAGCTTCCCATACAATTTTATTGAGACGTCTAAATTAAAAAAAAAATTTGATTAGAGAGTTTATATATCTATTTGTATTCTTGGTTTTTAAAACTGTTTACAATATTTTCTTGTTTTCTGGAATTATTTTTACAACCATTCAATTTACATAGAATCATACACAAATGTCTGCTGCACAAAATAAACTGTTACATTTGATTCAAATTAAGCCTATACCAATTAGGGTTGTGAATGAACTTACAAAGAGATACCATGCCCCAACAATACTATTAGTATATTGAATTAACATGTAAGACAAGTATTATATTCCTTTACACACACCCTCTTCTAAAACCATATTAAATTTCATGAATACCATTCTAGGTGTTTAGGTGAAATTGCGCTAACGTGGCACATGGCTAGACAGTCAGACAGAAAAACCAACAAACAGGGTTATTCCTGTATACCATCTCAAAACTTTATTTGGGTTGGAGCCAATCAGCCATGATCATGAGATTACAATATTTTTTTAGACATATATGTAATAAACTTCAACACTTATCATATCTAAGGGCTAATCCACACCCCCCAAAAAACCCAACCCTGACATGTTGAAAGGAATTGATAAAAACCTGTGTATATATGTTAATTTGAATGACTCTTATCTACTAAATTTGTATGGACCATGGGTTGCCTTCCACCTACTTTCCCTAACAAATCTATCTTACATTTTTTTCCTGAAAACCTGTTTTTTGGTACAGCAAATGTACTTACTTATGATAGGATACTATAGCTTTGTGTACTTTCTGTTCATAACCTTGTAAATCAACTGCTGAAGGATTTATTAATGTAACATGTGGTTTTCTGCTGGATACATGGGCCATTGGTAATATCTAAAACATCAAAAATATATCAGCTGATATTAATAGTCCTTTTTAACTTTGTTTAATATAATAGAGATATATGTTAGAAGAGCAGTACTCCTGTTTTTCATAGAATTTATAACAGATTATATATAAAGTTCAATTCTAATATTTTGTGTAAACTTATACCCTTGCATGAAAAAAATGGCTAAAGTAATGCATACCTTAAATCAGACATGAAAGATTTAGCAACATAAAAAACAAAAGATAATCACCAAAATCTGATCTATTGATTCATGTTTGCCTCACTTTAAGCAGCAATTATCAGATGCATTATTCAGGACAATGTCATTGCAATGTTTAACATGCTAGCTCATAAAGTAACTTTGGGCAAGACGACATGTCACATTATCAGAATACTTTATTTTACTCTGAGCTGACCAGTCTGATCTTACTCCTAAGTACTATTCCATTAAAATGTATGTGGGAGGGTAGGAAGGGAAGTTTAATTATTGAATGTGGGTCATGGGTCTTTTTTCAGTATGCGTCTATTACCATTATGCAATATTATCTAAAAAATGCTTCTTGGTTGTAGGGATATTTTGAAAGTCCCTTCCTACCCTCCACATACATTTTAATGGAATAGCCCTAAATGCTGTATACTTGGTTGACATGCTTCAAAGACCAATGTTGCGTTTTACATGACAAGCAAAATTTCAGTGACAAGTCACATTTGTGATGTCAAAAAATATTAAAGAGGGAGGCTTTGCAGATCTCTGAGGCAAACAATCCTTTTTCTGTGACTTGCCTCATTACAGAAGCTTTGGATGAGTTGTATAAAGTTATATAAATTAAGAAAGAATAGAACAATCTTTAAAGATTCTTTATTCCCTTTACTGAAATAGTGTGGTTTTTCTTTTCAAGGTTTTTCTGTTTTGCCTTGGTGTTGTCTGTTTTTATTAGACCTATAATTTTTTATTGGCCCTATGATATCTTTTCTCTCTTTCTACAAACTACTTACATCATCAAACACTTTAGATAGTACATGTCTATCCAGTATAGGGACATATTTAGCTCTTCGTGGTATAAATGTTGGTGCCAGTGCATCCAGTATAGTCAGTTTCTTAGCAACCAGCCCATGCTTGCTCAACCACATTTTTGATGATGTTTCTTTGGCCCTGCAAACAAAATATTTAACATGACAAATTTCCTCCAATTAACAATTTTATCCAAATTTTCTTTTTATAATGACAAAGATTAAAGTCTCATAAAAGATAAGTCCACAATAAAAACACAACTAACTTTAGGTTGGACTTTTGCAGTGGTTCAGACAGCCCAAGAGAATCTAAGTGTTTCAGTAGACTTTTTGAATATGATTCAGTGGAAAAATATAGTTTGCTTTTATGTGTACAGCACAGTTTATTAAAATCTTGAATTTTAAAGTTGACTCAAAGATTTTATTGAAACTTTGTATTACCTTGCTAGTCTTTTCTTTCTAAATGTCCTTGCATTTTCCCTCTTTTGGTCAACTGAAAATACAAATTAAGTTTGTATGAAATATTAATTTTATTAGATAAATTAAACTTATTTCCTTGAACAGTCTAAGCTAAGACTAAATCTCTCTATATCAAAATAAATAGTACCTGAAAAAAGTAAAACAATTTATTTCAAATAACTTGAAATAATTTATATAGTTATTTTTATGACATCTTTAATGGTAATTTTAAGGTGTGGTATGAGGTTGACCTTAGTGCACCCATTTTAAGTTCTTGTAAAATAAAGCAAAATAGCTCACGAACTAAGAAATATTTTGATATGCACTTGATTAATTAAATTCTGGCAATAAGTACACTGTTATTAGTTGATTGTACAAAACATTGTGACATTGTGAAGTTATTGCCCAAAACAGGATGATCTCTCATAACCTATTCTTATTTCTATTGTATTAGCATACCATAAATACAAGCAAGCTAAATTGGTGATAGCTTACATGATTTTTAAATCAAATTAAGCTGTGAGCTTTACGGGACAGAAATTTCAAATAAAAATATTCACCATTAGTATGTAAGTTAACCTGATATGCAATATACTGATTATGTTGTTAAGAGCAGCATATATTCTATTTTTTTGCAATATGTTTAATAATAATATATGTGGACATACTATTACTCATGGTAGAGGATATTGCATAGCAAGTCTGATCTTAACGAGTATGAACCACAGCAATTTACTATCTTGTTAGGAAATAAATTTTAATAGTATGAAGCCTGATTCCATAAAAAAAATGGCCCTTCAAGATTACCATTCCATAGTTCTGGTGAAATTTTATTGTATACATAGAGTTTGACACATGAACAAAACTGTCTACTATGATCCTGAACAACACCTCCATAAGTGCAACCTTAAGACAATTTTGTACATTTTTTGAAATATAATAAGAGGAATTTTTTAGTTTTATAATATGTTGTTATATGTATATAATTTTATTCGTATTGTTTGTGATGTCATATGAAATGCTGACATGTTTTCTGTCTTTTTTTCTCCATTATTTGATGCTGTCAGTATTAATCATTAGATATAACAACTAAATGACACTTAAAACAATCGTATATATCATTCAGTCCAATTAGAAATATTGCATGAAATTGAAAGAAGCTTTAAAAAAGCATGCAGTGTTGAACTCTAATATTTTCTCATGGAGTAAATTAACCTGCATTGGATAAAATGTTTGGTGTTACATGCAGTGATCTGTTGTAAGATAATAAATAGAAAATAAAATGAAATTATAACTGTAAAGAATTAGCTGGAAAAGCTGTTGCAATTTTTTTTTTTTAACTGATGGAATTCATGCAAACTTCAGCAAACACAAATTGTCATTAGATTGTCAGAGAGGTTAAGATGACAATACTGAAAATCAAATGAGTAAAATATATGATCAATGTGAATATATATTTGAACGTGCTGTTATCAATCACTTCAAGCCAAATTAGCGACATCGAGCATAATGACTATACCGTTTCTACGTTCCACAACATACGGAGAAAGATGAAAGCGTTGTAGAGCTAAAATAAACAAAAATATCCCGAATAACAGAGGAAAGTGACATTCAACATGTCTCAGACCAAAAATGAATAACAATTCTGTTGCTTTGTGTTTAAATTATTTATTTATAATAATTTTTTTGCATAGAAATGTTTTGAGCTAAATATTATTAAAGAATGATTCTTAGTAAAATTAGTATGTAAAATAGGCATTACATGCTTGCGAAATACACAAACAAAACTTTGATGGCAAACTATGACACAAAGGAAAGAAATAGAATCATCAGAACACAAGAGCTTCACAAAAATATGATCTGTAAAACAATTATACCTTCAGCTAACTGTTGTTGCTGTTTGGCTTGTTTTTCAAACAACTGTCGGGTTTCTGGCAGTAACCATTCATCAGGATCAAATCTTCCAGTGCTTGTCATTGTACGTAGTAAACTTGTTCTTGTGTGAGCTGGAAATAAATTTAACACAAAATACTTTGAATAAAATTTGTCTGGTATAAATTTTGGGGATTTCATGGAATTGAATAACCACAATTTCAAATGTTCAATGAAGTACAATATTCTAGTGGCTTGCCTCCTAAATTTGGCACAACCTCAAAATCATATATCAACAAAAATACTATTTTTCCTCAATCCATGAAAATTGGTACTAAAACAAAAAAATAAATGAATCAACAGTAAGATGCACTCAATACTGTCTAAGTTATTTGGATTTTGTGTATTATATTGCATACTTCATGTATAAGTACAAATTACCCCGGTAAGTGTTCTGAAACCAGATTTGATTTTGTATTTAGAATTCATTGATTTTTTTCAGACTGATTCTAAAATCCAACTTCGTATTTACTAATGACATGAATACAGTTGAATTCATAGTTATAACATTAACCTACTGATATCAATTTCTAAAATATCATAAGGTTTCCATGGCTGAGTGTATAAACATTCATATGACTATTGCAACAAAAACTCAAAGAGGTAATACAGTTTTGTTTTCCTTCTGCTGCTGAAAACTGAAGAACAAAATGGAATATCTTCAGGTAGCAAAGACCACCTTGCTTGTTTCTTGCAAGTACTTACTTTTATTCAAGTACTTAAAAAATCAACAGCTACAGAAATCAAAAATGATTTGGCAAGAATGGTAAATTTTACATATATTTTCCATTAATAAGGCTATTTCGCTGAGCAATATTGACAAACTGACAATATTTCAATAACTTTTTTTTCATCTATCTGACTGGAAATGGCAAGAAAATTAATTAACAGTATACCATATAGCCTATAGATGGTCTAAGCTATATATACAAGAAATGCTTAAAACATGCAAAGCTGTGAATATTGTATTATGTGCTAGTCATTGCTTTAAAACTGATCTGAAAATCTTGCAAACATGTAAGAAGGCGTTGTTTTACTCATGCAACCCCTTAAAACATTAAAAAATGCTAGACAGCAGCCAATTTTATTGTTCCAAAAAAATTACTGGTGCATATTTAACAAGAGTGCACATGCTGAAATGTCTTGCCTGCTTTACTGACCATTGATTTTATGTTGAAAGTCTTAAATATGAAGATTTTACTACAGGTATCACATAAACTTAACATTTTTAAAGATCCATGACAATGAGGTCAAAGTCCGATAAATGGACATATGACAGACGTAACATAAGATATCTGCATACAAGGTATGAAGCATCCAGGTCTTCTACCTTCTGAAATATAAAACTTTATATACAAATAGTTTACACCGCCACTGCCACCGCCGGATAGTAATCCCTATGTCTTGAATACTGCAACTTTCGTCGCAGGCGAGACAAAAATCATAATTTAACCAAACAATAAGGTTACCATAAATTGTGCATTTTGAACATTTAGAAAACAAATTCTTTCATTCTATACAACTAATCTTGACATTTCTGGTAATCCTTTTTGCTGTGTAAAATGTAACAAAAAACATTAAAATTTCCCCCTCCAATCGGAGATAAAAACAACACATTTCTGAGACTCCACCAGAGTTAAAAAGTGCCTTTAGAAAACACATGCAAGTATTCTCATATTCCAAATAACATATGACATTCATGCAAAAAAAGTAAATTATACAAGTCAAACACATTTAAAATCCCACACTGTAAAAATGCAAGCAAGCAATATTTCTGCCAAGATTGAAATTAAATGAAATTCTGCTTTCTGCGACTAAAATGATCAAATGCTGCCTTATAAAGTGAAGGCTTACATGCTTGAGTTTATGTGAAATTGTGCATGATTTACAATGAGAATGTTAGCTACCTGATTTTCTGCGAGGACGAGATGATATTTCTGATTTTGCTAGATAAGGATAAAAATATAAGTTCAAATACATATGCCTCAATTCTCAAAATACATTTAAGAACAAGACCAAGCAGAGTAAAGATTAAAAAATTAAAAAATTAATGCAATACTAATGCTTTTGTTAGTACTAGTATTCATGTAAAAGCTAATTACTATTTTTAATATTAATATGCATTATTTCTCATTTAAATGACTAAAAACTTTGAAAATAAAACACTAATTCTACAATCCTCCATCAAAGCATACAATAGTACTTACAAGCACTTAGTGGATTCTGAGATGACTTTCTAGCACTAACTGGGCGTGAATATCTACGAATCCTTAGGGATGATTTCTGAACAGGAGGGGAAGCTGATCTAGGTGGTGGTGATGGTGTTTGTCTGTCCTCCCTTGGGGGAGGGGCACTCTTCGGGCGTGGTATACTCAATGGATCTGGACGAAAGATCTCAGATGGATCCATAGCAGGAACAGCTGATGGTCTGTCAGTTTTTGGCATTGGATGATTTCTACATTATAAAAATTTAAACATAATATTAACTTTAACACTTAATGCAATAGAGATGAACAGGTCATATGCTGAATGCAATTTTTTACCAATGTATGTATATAACATGCAGTAACAGATCAAGAATCATCAGTAGAGTGGATTAAATTGAAAAAAAAAAAACTTTTTTACATTATTTTGATATTTTCATACCCATTTTTATTAAAAACCAACCTAAATCTGAAAAGTCATCATCTCACAGCTTGATATTTTTTTCTATTCATTTACAATTAAACAGCATATGCTTGTCAAGATCTGAATAATTAACAATTTTATCAGCTAATTTTACATTTTATAAGAAAACAAGTTGGCAAGATAAATTTGAAGAACATTTATCAAATCAATCATACTACCTTCATACATGTCTATGGACGTTAAGCAACCAACAATCAATCAATCATACATGTCTATACGCAAATTAAAACAATATCAATAAAGTACGGACCTACTACATCTTCTTTCCTTCAGATTCTCCACCTCACTTTTCCATGATAGATTAGAACATTCATCCCTGAGATCTTCTATCTTCTGTAAATGTTCTAATCCTCTTCTTATTTCTTCCTTCAGCAGCCTAATGTCTTCACTCTGTAAAATTAAAAAGTAAAATTGGAGGTACCTATCAGGTAATGTTTTTTTCCTCTCAAATATTTCAGCATTCAAAAAATTTAACCAGGAAAATCTTATAATTTAAAAATAACTTAAAATGTTGTTTCTTTCGATTTTATAATAAAATGACTTGTATTTTCTTCCCTTAGTATAAGAAATGTTTAACAGAAACCTTTTTTTATATAAGTATTACTTTTTCATACAGCTTCTCTATGTATACAAAAGTTCATTGTACTGTATAAATCTGACTCAGTAAAAATAATCATCACATCACCAGTCATAGTTACCTATGCATTCATAAAATATGCTCTGTCGAAATATAAAATATTTCTACAGTTAACAACATAAAGATTGGCAATAAAAGGTCATATTGATCTATACTGTATTAATGAATTTATGCAAAATTGTCAGAACATTCTGTCAGGTCATAAGCATGACACTTTATGAATTTATTTTATACAAATCACAGAACAATAAAAAAAAAATTTATATATATAAACCTATAGTGGCTTATATCCACATATTTTTTTTTGTCTCTGTTGAATAGTTGTTTCATTGACAATCATATCACATCTTTTCATTTTTATATAAATTTAGTCTAAATATAGACACTGGATCTCTAAATTTCCCATTGCAACAAAATAATTTTCTATATTCACTTTTTAAGTTTTGTCTTACCAATTAGACGTATATATAACAGTAAATATATCAAAGTGATAGCGAGCCAACTTCTCAATGTCAATGATCTAGAGATCATTAATAGATAAGTATCTAAACATGTATCATAGGTCAAGTTCAAATTGACAAGAGTCTTAGACAAGTGATTGAATAACCAGAGACATTCAAAGATCTGTCATCAACAATCAAATTTCTAAATATCCACAATGGAAGAAACATAATTTTTTTTTTCCATTTCTTATCCCCCCCTCAACTTTCAGATATTAAAATAAAAAAACGACATACTGGCACATTTTTGTCAAATGTGTATATGTTCTTGAGGTTTCAACATAAATAATAAAAATCAATGGAGGAATTCTTAGTATTTGGAAATATCCTTACCTCCCAAGATTTTGGCTGGTCTGCATCAATCCCTTTCTCAGAGAAATAATGGTATCTTCCATCTGTGGCCTGGGCCAAATCAGACAGGAACTGGTTTGCCTCTGTATCATTACAGTTAAAGGAAATGGCATGAACAGGAACACAGTGCTGCATTTGTACTTGAGCAATGATTGACTTTGGTGGCTAAAATGGAAAGGAGTTTTGTTTATTCAAAGAAATTGCATAATTTGAAAATAGTGTGAAATGTCTGAATGTAAAAAATCTATTATAATATTGTATTTTGGCTTAGTATTTAAGGTGGTATGGGTGTCTTCTGCCATCTTGGATTGCAAAATAGCAGAACACAAAGGGTCTAGACTTTTTATTAAGTCAGCAAATTCTAAAATATTTTGGCTTGATTTCATTTTTTTTCAATTTACATATTAAAGGGAGGTAGCTCAGAAAATGTATAATCTATAAAGGAATCTTCAAGAAATTTGTCTTTTTTATGTTATAGCAGGAAAAAACATACAGTGACTCCATTTTTTCTTTTGATATTCTGAAAACAGTTTATAAGAGCTATCTTCTCATTTTTTAATTACAAATTCTATCATTTAGTTTACTTTCTCTTCACATCAGGATGCTTTTTCTCTGTATAATCCGCACAAAATGTGTAAATTTTCAAAACCTGTGGCTTGAAAACAAGCCCAGTGACCTATCATTTTATTTTATTTTTGAACATACCACAATATATACTACATGTTGGCAAAGTATGAAAAAATTCTATAATTTTTCATTTATACTCCCATACCACCTTTAGTACATTTCTATCTATTTTGTTTAAAATACAAAACAATTTTTATTTTCAATTATCATATATAATACTTTTAGTGACAAAATTCACACATAATGCACTAAAAGGTTGTAAGAAGGGGAGACAACTACAGAAACTTAAATTTCATATGAAAAACAAATTGTAGTAACTAAAACCAGATTTCACAAAGCGAATGTGTTATAACATTTCAGTATGAATTGACTGGTATTGAAAGAAAATTTTCAAACATATTTGTGGTAAAAAAAAGGTATTAAACTGATTCTTTCAAAAAGCATTAAATAACATATAAATATCCCTTAGACTAAATGTTGATTAGAGTCAGATGTTTTCAATTTCCACACATAATTTAAACACCTGAGAAGTAATAAAATCTCATTCAAACAAGAGACACTGAAATTCTACAAAATTTTTACATACTTGATCAGGTCTACCATCCGTCAGTAAGTATATAGCCTGTGTTCCCGGGTCAGATAATGCATGTTGTAAGGCAGCGTATGTATTTGTAGAACCCCAGCACGACAAGTTCTGGATCCATTTCCAAGCACCAATCAGAGCCTGCTCTGTAACATCAACCATCCTATTCTGCCAGGTTATTGCTTTGGAGTTAAATGCTACCATATTAAACTTCTTTTTGTGTCTCAATTGTTCCTTAAGATAATAACAAGGGAGATAATTTAGAATTAATTTATTGAAAATGTAATAGAAAACATATTTTTGTTCATTACGAATAACGAAGAATATAGAGAAATGCAAAGAGAAATAGAAAATACATATGGCATAATACCTTTTACTGAGTGATTTTTTTAAGTGTCAGATGAAAAATTATGCACCATTACCAAAATCCATCAATAAAATTTTAAAAACAAGGACGGTCATGTGACAGTTAACAGCAGTTCTAATAATGTGTGAGTCCTTCTTTTGTATTACAGTTTTATAACTTTCTTTCTGAATGACCAATAACAGAATACTGACCTGCATTAGTATAAAGAGTTTGTCCTTTACAAAGGTAATACTGGGTAACATTGAGGCTGAAGTGTCTATCAGTACGTAGATCTGGTCCTCTATAACTGTACCAAATAAAGCTCTACTTCCTTGCTTCAACCAGTCAATTCTGTAAAATAAGATTTACATGGATATATATGATGCTCAGGAATCTAATTACAAAAAGGAATAATTCAAGCATTGGAGATGTACATATATATCTATAATATAAAAATAAGAAGATGTGGTATGGCTGCCAATGAGACAACTCTCCACCAGAGACCAAATGACATAGAAGTTAACAACTATAGGTCACCATACGACCTTCAACAAAACAGTAAAACCCATACAGCATAGTTAGCTATAAAAGGCTCAGAAATGACAAATATAAAACAATTCAAACGAGAAAATGTTTGAGAAAATGAAAATTGCACGACAATACAAAAATTCGTAAGGGTTCCGCGGAACCCAGTGTCTCGCCTACTTTTTGCTGTTAATCACAGGCTCAGCAAAAATGGTAGAAATCCAGGATAGTTTAAGAAAGTTATTAAAATTTCAAAAACTTTAACCACAGAGTGAATGTAATGTTTCCTGACAGAAAAACTAAGTCCATTTATAAGTAAAATACGGAAAAAATGGAATTTTTTTTTTACAAAATTTACTTGTGGATACTAGCTTTTAATCATAAACAAGCTTCTGTCCAAGTTTGGTACAAATCCAGGATAGTTTAAGAAAGATGTTAAAATTTAAAAACTTTAACCACAGAGTGAATGTAATGTTAACTAGCAAAAACTAAGTCCATTTATAAGTAAAATACGGAAAAAATGGAATTTTTTTTTTACAAAATTTCCTTCTAGATACTAGATTTTAATCATAAACAAGCTTCTGTCCAAGTTTGGTACAAATCCAGGATAGTTTAAGAAAGTTATTAAAATTTCAAAAACTTTAACCACAATGTGAATGTAATGTTTCCTGGCAGAAAAACTAAGTCCATTTATAAGTAAAATACGGAAAAAATGGAATTTTTTTTTACAAAATTTACTTTTGAATATTATCTTATGATCATAAACAAGCTTCTGTCCAAGTTTGGTAGAAATCCAGGATAGTTTAAGAAAGTTATTAAAATTTCAAAAACTTTAACCACAGAGTGAATATTTGTGGACGCCGCCGACGACGACGCCGACGGAATGTAGGATCGCTATGTCTCGCTTTTTCGACAAAAGTCGAAGGCTCGACAAAAATTAAGACTATAAATAAAAATAGACAGCATTTATTTGTAGAGATTCTCCAAACAACTAAGAGGGACCGCCATTTTGTTTTTGTTTTAATACCTGTTTTTTTTTTTTTAAAGAAATTTGAGAAATGAACATTTTGCATTTTGTTTCCAACTTATATGTTTGTCACAACAATTCCTGATAAAGCACACTTTTAATAGGTTAATAAACTACAATAGTTGATCCATTACTAAAATAATCAATAAATGACCTTTGATGGAATGATCTGAGCGAAATATTAATCTTTCTTTCATATCTTCTATGTATCTCAGGTGTGACCTGGACATGCATGACCTGTCCATCTTTCCACTTGACCACAGGAAACTTGTCACAATATCTTGCATTAATAAGCTTACTGTGTGTCAGCTGAAAGAAAAGAAAAAAAACTTGAATTACACATACAGAGAGCTCTAGTAAGCTTAATTGCAGTTAATCTGAATAATTATATACCGAATAATATAAATGCTTCAATAATAAGAATTTTCTCTAATCGCAGCTCCAATTTTCGTCAATTTTTGACATACGTCTATACAAATAAACGAAAAAAGTCCTAAAATCTTAAAAACAAATATACATTGACCTGGTCTTTGTTAAGCAAAAAACAGCTCTTGATCTGAAATAATCTATAACTAAGGAAAGAGTACCTTTTTGGGTTTAATTGGCTTTGTAAATTCATCATAAATTAAACATTGTATGAGAAAATTACTATTCAGGGTTTTTTTAAGCATCAGGATGAAGGCTTTCAGTTGAGAAATAGTGAATATTAGTAAAGACTTGTTAACACACTTAAATTTGAAGTCATTATAGTGACGTTACATGTATAATCAAGTTTTTTCAGATTTAAATTTAAAGCTAATTTTCAAAACATTTTGGATGAATCAACATAGGGCACAAGCATCACCAAAAATAGTAGGAAATAGATGAAAATAAAATAAACTTCCTTTTCAAATATATTTTTAACTACTGTTGTGCTCTATATCAATTCCTAGTATATATGAATCACAAGTCAAGATTTTGCCTAATTTAGCCATTTTACTAAGTTTACCATCATTTCATGGTTGTATAGCATAACCATAAAGGTTTCACCAATTAAATATACTGATGTTTAATAAAAATTCAACCACAGACTGAAGCTATATGTTGATGAAGCAAATGAAGGAATGAAGGATAGCTATGTCTTGCTTCTTCAACAACAATAAAATGACTACTTACTGCTTCAGTTTGTGTATTATTTTCTGGCTTGACTTTGAGATCAACGATTCCATCCCGATGTTTGAATGCAACACTTCCTAATACATCCCATAATTCTAGTCTTCGAGCACCAAGTCCATAAATGTTCAACCATTGTTTTGTACCCATGTATTGTTCATCTCTTTCACTAAGGTCCGTCTTATCTATCACAGATTCTGAAAATTTTAATTGAGGCATAGTTTAATTATAATTGTAAAGTCTAACAGTAACCATTAAATAATGATACAAAGTTTGAACTAGAAGTCTAAATCCCCTTAATAAGCCCACACTTGCTATTTTTATGGTCCAGTTACATAGAAAGCCAAATCACTATAACAATTGTATGGACAAGGTCCTGTGAATTTAATTATGCTTTGTAATTTCTTTAACATGCAATATCTAAACCCAGATATCATCAGCTTATTCCAGTCACGAAAAGTCTGAGTGGATTTGTATTATTCAATATTGTATTGTTAGCAAGCATGTTTTTTTGTAATACGTTAACTGAAAGATGAATTCCAATAATAATAAATTACTGTGTTAGACTGATATAATTTTTCCAGTCAATTCTAATTTACTTTAACCGGCATGATACAATGAAAGTTAGATAAAGAAGTTAATATATAGGTAATCCATTGGGATTAATGGATCAAAGCAAAATGTTGAAATATGTAGTATAAAATAAAGATAAGCTTGATCAAGTTTATATATAATAGGTCATTAATTCTATGCAGAACCTGTGGGTGAATTTCTGATACTGTGGATTCATTTATTTTCGTGGGTACCAATTTTCGTGGATTGTTGAAAAATCATGTTTTCATGGATATTTGATTTTGTGGTTTTGCTAATGTCTGCATATAAGCTGATAGAAAATTCTCACTTCGTTGAGTATTGAAATTCGTGGTTCACCTAAACCCACGAAATCCACGAAAATTGCTATCCCATGAATATTAATGAATCCACAGTAGTAGACACTATGGTAATAGTTTCTGTTTTAAAATCTAATAAAAGTTGGTCAACAGTTTGTTGGAAAATAGGGCTAGTTGACAGGGTCCTATAACATCAGAAACCATTACAGGAATAAGTGGTCTTAACAGCATTAATGTGTCTAAACCTGTCTTGGATTGCTTTAATATTTTAATTCTGTCAAAGTTGTGTCACAAGCCAACCCCCACCTCCCCCATTTGATGATTTACTAGCCAACTGCTTTCAGAAGAATAGATTTATCAATAAGTTTGTGATGGATGATTATTCCATATGATTAAAGTTGCTCACTCCAGATTTTTTTAATAACTCATCCCTCAGACCCTGCTGACTCGCTGTTAAACCATTTTCCTTAAGGACATTTTCACTGTCAGAAAATAATGAAATTTTTATTTTCATCTGCTATCATAAAATCAATAATTTCTCATTTTCATTCAATCAATATAGCTTCATTTATTTTATATCAATAATTTATCTTTCATTAGTACCTGGTAATTCTGTTTTAATTAAGTTTTTATGCAACAACAAAAAGAACATCTCACATTATATGCATTTTAATTTCAATGTAATGAAAATTAATTGACAGTAAAAACTTTTAATTAGTTATGATAATCAAATATGGCAGACTCTAAAGGGTAAGTTTGATCAAATATTGAAATGTTTGTTTATAATAATGCACGGCACAATAAAGGGTCTGGTATGATGATATGCATTTTATGGGACTTTTCAAGGCGTAAATATGAATACTTCTCAATACTTGGAGATATGAATAAATACTTGTCCTCTGATGATTCATAGAATACACAACATTTTTTTAAAATAGTGTTAATTTCATCAAAACTATTTTAGGCAAGTTCAAATAAAGAGTCACACAGTTGGACAAAGACAATAAATGAGAAAGTTGATGCATAAAGTGAGACAAACAAATAAATCACATATCTGTAAATGATCTTATTACTGAAAACCTTGATGCTCTGAAAATAACAATGCTCTAAAACATTTCAAATAAAATGAGTTCATCACACTCACCAACAAGAACTTTAGGTTCAGGCACTTCTTCCATAATAGCTTGTACTTGAGCAATAGTGTTCCTTGTTTCCTCTATCTCCTCAAACAATAAAGCTACATCTTCTCTCATCCCCGCCCCTGGAGGAACTCCACCATAGGTACGTTTCTTCAGCACTATGTTAGCTCTATTGTTACGAGGGTCAATAGGGGAGGATTCATAACTATCCATCTCCATTATCACAGAGTAAGCATGAAATCTGGATAAAATAGCAGCACAATTACATTAATTGTCAAATACAGTGAACTCCACAATATAGGATATACGGTGGATTCATTTATTTTCGTGGGAACCAATTTTTCATGGATCATGGAAAACTTACATGTTCGTGGATATTTAATTTTCTGGTTTTGTCAATGAAAGTCTGCATAAAAATCTATAGAATATTTGTCATTTGTTGAACATTTAATTTCGTGGTTCACCTGTACCCATGAAATCCACGAAAATTTGTATCCAATGAATAATAATGAATCCACAGTAGGCTAAATGAATATATTGACTACTGCATTTATATAAATTGTTGAATATTTCCATTTGAAAAATTATTTACAGAAATTCTATGAGAAGGAAATTTTTTGGCACTCAGATTCAAAAATGAAACAAAATGTATATATCTTTTTTGCAAATATGCTACAATTCATCCATTTCAAAAAAGTAAATTCCATATACATACTTGGCACAAGTTCTGTCAGCAAAGTCTTTAAGGAACCTTACAGTAGCTGAGTCATCACAGTTAAAGGCAACAGTGTGGACAGGCACTTTGTGGTGTAGATCTCTCACCTATAAATGTTAATATGAAGTAACTATGATAAAAAAATATAACAATGTCTTTAAATCTGTGCTGTATAGTAATGAGTTACTTCCCCATTATGTGCCTGTATATCATTAAAGCAAATAATCATGAGTTTTTATTTCAAATACTTAAAATATCTTAATCACTTAAGAAAGGAAAAATCCTAATGCATATTAATTTACAAATGTAGTACTGCAGTACTGTCATGTCTGGAAATCTTCGGGTCATGCTCACACATTTTATTTGCTGTTTTTTTTATAAATGTTTGGTTTTTTCTTCTTTTTATCCGAAGAAATGTGAAAAATTCCAAAATATAACACCTGAGTGTCCTCTGAATTCTCAATTCTTGAAATCAATGCAACAGCACTTTTAATTATAAACAATTTATTAATAATTTCCTAAATGACAATTTTGCCATGACAGTAACAAACATGTGTAGGTAAGGTACTCTCACTCAAACCAATATACATAGATGTGGTATGCCTGACACTGAGGCAACTATTCATCAATGACCGAGGAACAAGAAAGTTTTTATTCTACAATGTACTAACCTTTTCTTTTAATATTTCTTTACATGTTTCTATAGCTGTTCCTTCAGTGAACAGATAAATAGCCTCATTCTACAATGATAAAAATCATTCTCAAAAATATGTTGACACAACTTGTTTCATGAATGTCCTTCAAAATACTGATATAAATTCTTGTCAAGGCATTAACTGGTTTAAATTTTTCTTTTTTTATATTTTAACCTGATCCTTTAAACCGTTAAATGTCCATTTGAAATTAATAACTCTTTGTTCGTATTCAATTTGATGTATCATAATACAATAACCTGACAAAACAGCATTCATTTAAGTAATATGATACTTTAACGTTAACAAAAAAAGTTGAATATGTTTTATACACATGGATGGCTACATTTTACTATAAAACATGTGTACATAGACTTTCTTTTAAAAGAAAATCCTCTTTTTTTTCTAAACTACCCCCCCCCCCCCCCCTTCCCCACCCAATCTAATCAGCTTCTGGTTGATGAATTAGAGTACATGGATACAATAATTTAATTGCAGTACATTTCTGAAGATTTGGATGAAATAAAGGATTTTCTTTATAGTAAAACGTAACCATTCACGTGTACATAGACTTACTTTTAAAAGAAAATCCTTTATTTTATCCCAATCCTCAGAAATGTACTGCAATTGAATTATTGTATCCATATACTCTAATTCACCAACCAGAAGCTGATTAAGGGGGGGGGGGGGGGGGGGTTGAAAAAAGGACCCCAACTTACAATTCATCTCAAAATAACCAAAATTGTGTGATAACATTTTTGGGTCCTTGATTAGCAACCAAAATTTTCGATCAACAATTACTAAATGAAATATTATTTGTCAATTAAATGTTATGGATTTGTAATAAATTTAAAAAAAAAAACTTGCACAGAGAACTTAGTTTAGTATATATATATATCAATTATGATAAAGATCCATTTTGTTATATCTTGTGATCCATTTATTTGGCAATCGCCAATGGCAGTCAGCAGGGTTTAAGAACATCCGTTGTTTGACCTGTTAGTCAAATGCATTTTGTTTAAATATACTTTTTCACTTTTTTGGTCTTTTGGAAAATGTTGTTTGTGCTGTAGTTAGACCCCTCTATATATATATACAAGTCTTAATTGAAAACAACATTCAAACCTATGATTGCGTTGGATAAAATCCGCAATTTTTATACGTGTGCATGCAATACAAATTTCTTGGTAGAGGGGTCTAAATACAGCACAAACAACATTTTCCAAAAGACCAAAAAAAGTGAAAAAGTATATTTAACAAAACGCATTTGACTAGCAGGTCGAACAACAGATGTTCTTAAACCCTGGACTGCCATGGCGATTGCCAAATAAACGGATCACCAGATGTAACAAAATGGATCTTAACTATTAATTTAATACCAAACAGAAAACAATAAACTTGCGGAAAAGATGGTATACCGCAAACAAAAGGTGCAAAAATTAGTACACCATACCTGGATTTCGACAATTAATGTCTCTTCAGTGATGCTAGGAATCAAATATATATATATAAATAAGTCTAAATTGAAAACAATGTTCAAACCTATGATTGCGTTGGATAAAAACCGCAATTTTTATACGTGTGCATGCAAAACAAATTTCTTGGTAGAGGGGTCTAAATACAGCACAAACAACATTTTCCAAAAGACAAAAAAAGTGAAAAAGTATATTTAAACAAAACGCATTTGATATATATATATTATATATATATATATGTATTCATTGGTTCAATATTTTTCTTTACATCATAATTACCAGAAACTAATTTTATATGACTTTAAATGTAATCAAATTTTCCCTTCAGACATGATATCTTCACCAAAAATAGGCATTCACTTGAGACTGGTAGGTGTAAAACTAATAACAAAGATGCATTTCAATGAACATATTTTTGGTCCATAATTACTTGTTTCAGAAAGATGGATGGATGGATGTTTTTAGGTTCAACAGAAAAACTGTCCACTATATTCAGGGTAAATCATTTTAATGAGATATAAATATCAATTTTGCTTTACATAAGATAAACAAGCTCTGGTAGCTCCCAACGTTACAAACTTTTTGTAAATGAAGGCAAAGATATCATCTGATATGGACACATCATTCTGACAGTTACAAGACCTGTTTTATTTCTATTAAATACAGTATGCTTAGTTAAGAACAAGATAATACAAGTTTTAAAGTCTAAGGTTTGAATAACCAGTGGGCTATTGTAATATAATTTAATTCAATTCATTTTTGATTCACATGTAGAATTTCTTCTCCCAATCACACAAGTTTATTGAATATAGATAGAAAACTGAAAGTAAACTTATGTGAAAAACCAACAAAATTGTTAAAGCAATAACATCAAAGATGGCAACCACCAAGATAAATCAGTTATGTAAAAATCTCAACACAATTCCTTAAAATGAAGACTTCACATATATGTTGGATGATGAAGATATACATGTATGATATTCCAATGTAACAATAGGTTATTTTACATGTTTAAGAGGTCTGATTAGTTGCTATTTTGGTCAACCAGGGTGACAATATGTGTCAGTGGTAAGATTAAGATATATTTTAAATGGAATGGTCATGATAGAGAATCAAAGCTCACAAGGGTATTCTGTCAGACTGAGTCATAATATAATAACAATCTTTAAATTATCTCATAAAACTTACATTAGGGTCCATGGAAGCCTTTATAATAGCTTCACATGTTGAAGTTTTAGCCACAGGTGCTAATCTATCTAGTCCCCAGACCCAGTCTACAGCTCCTTGTATTGTATCATGTGTCACTGGTACACATTCTGGTTGGTATTTCTCTATATCATCTGTCGACCTGTCATAACAAAACAATACCTTCGTTATCTTATTCAGAACATGTCATCGCTTTATTCTCTGATGCCATCCATTCTGTGCAAACACTCTGTCTGCTTTATAATTATTGCATCTCATATTCTAGTGAAGATTTAATTTTCTGAACCTACTATTTTGTGGTATGAGTAATAGGTTTTAGTTACTTGATGCAATAGCTTTTCATTTCTGTCAATTCAGCTAAATAACTTGACTTTCAGTTTGTACATCAATGTTAAATTTGAACTTGGAACAAATGTTGGATTTTTTTCCCCAAAGGTTGGATTTAACAACTGGAAGCAGTGCAGCATATAAAATTGGATGATTTTAAATGAAATATTTTGCGTAAAATTTGAAAAATGACTGCACTGTGCATATTCTAATTAAAAGTTATAATACAACTTTACCTAATCAAATTAAATTTGACAACTTGAGTCAGTTGTTCATAAATCACTCTCTCTAAAGCCATTCTATATTGGTCAAAGTGGACAGGAGACATATTACGTATATCAAGGACAATTGTCAATGCTTTCTCTTCTATCACACCAAACAAACGGCGACTTTCTGTTGTCAGCCATTCAAGTCTTCGTTTGAACAACAGCAATGACTGATTAAGACGTGCCTCAATCTGTCTTAACTGTTCTCTACTGCATGTAATCTGAAAGAAGATTGAAGAAACTAGTTGTAATAAATTTAGTATTTTGTAATAACTTTATATTGCTCAATATAATTTTAGAAAAAAAACCAACATAATAAAATATAAATCTTGATAAAAGCAATTTGTTCAAACACTGCCTGGTCAAAGGGAGATAAAAAAGATCTTTAAGTTATAAACTGTAAAATTTCCAAGTTTAAAGGCATCAGTAATTTTATATACCAATTTAACAGGACTGGAAACAGAGTTTGTACAGTTTACTCTCAGTGTTTGTCAAATAAATTTATCTATATATCTTATTCATTATCCAAATAAACATTATCTGATGATAACATTTCTTTACTGCATATTTCAAGGAATTATATAAATGTAGCATCTGATTTGGGATTATATAGCATCTGCTAGATCTAACTATACAACGAACTCGTGTTAGATGTATATAGTGGTAGATTTGTATTATTTCTTTAGTTGTTTTATATACAAATCAAGATTTAATGGTCATATTAACAAATATTTATACTTACATTGAAAGTTTTACCATCAGGTCTTAATATCTGATGGAAAAGGCCATCTGCATACCTGGAACTGATTGGTCTTTTGAGAGATCTATCAAAATCTACAAAATATGAAATGTAACTGAAGAGATCAAAGCAACAAACCACAACTGTCACATAAGCAAGGCCTTGATGGTTTGTAACTTAGAAGTCAATTGAAGGAAAGACCAAATGTCCTTTCTGTTGCAAAGTACTTCCATTTGTATGTATAATATCACATAATTTATAGTTTAATCTTTTCTGCCTTCCACTGCATTAGTAATTTGTGCTAATAGGTCTAAAATTCATAGATGATGTCAAGTAGAGCCAGTTTTCAATAATTTTTTTCATTTGTCATAAAATATGCCTTATTTAATAAAGAGCTGCGCCATGAATGATTGCGCCATGAGCGCATGATATGCCTGGCACCAACTGGACAGTTTTCAACAATTTTTCAACTAATAAAGTTCCATAACTCCGCAATGTCATATCAGAAATTTATAAAAAACAAAACGAAACTTATTTCAATAGATATAAACAAGTCATCAAAGTTTCATGATAACTGCTAAAAGAGTTTTTGAGTTATTGTCAGAAATACTGGAAAATCCCCCCTTTTTAATGAATACAGTCCCAATGCTCCAAAACATAAAATCAGAATTTTTTTTAAATCGAAATGGAACTTATGTCAATATCTATAAACAATTCACCAAAGTTTCATGAAAATTGTTCAAAGCATATTTGAGTTATAGTCAGAAAACTGGAAAATCCCCCTATTTTTATGAATAAAATTTCTGAACTCGGAAACGTAAAATCTAAAATTTATAAAAATGGAAAGGGAGCTCACGTCAACAGTTATAAATAATTCACCAAAGTTTCATGAAAATTGGAGAAAGCATTTTTGAGTTATTGTCCCACATGTTGACGAAGAACGGACTGACGGAAGGACAGACGGAGGGACAACGGTATACCATAATACCATAAATGAGCATATAAAAAATCTTAGTAATACAAGTACCATAAAAATTTGGACATCTGTCTAATAAAAGGTAAAATTTATAATAAACAATATAATTATTTTTTCATTACAAAATCTATAGTTCTCTTGGCTCTAGTTTTCAGTGTAAACTCATTCATCAATTATTTTTTTTAGCAATCAATCATTAAGAACATGTCAGTCTAACATAAAGATTTTATTAAAAGATACCAAGGAGTTTAAGTTGTATTGTGTCATTGGGTTGCTGTCTCATAGATATACCCCACATCTCCTTTATTCATTTTGAAAATTTATGAAAATATATGCAGTTGGTTTAGTCCGAACATCATGATAATTAATAGCTCTATTAAATATTCAGAAATAAAACTTTTGTGAATTTCAATTATTAAGTCAAGGGAGAATTTCTTATATTAAAAAGTGATTCTTGTCGCAACCCTTGGAAGTGTGGTTTAATTAAAACAAAGATTGAGAATCAGTTTGTAAACTTAAAAAAATGCAGCTACTTCCTATTTGCTAATACTTTTAAATTTCAATCAATTATACACAAAGATACAGGTCCAGACCAGGTAGTGGTCTTATTTCAACTGACGACAGAGGAAATGCTTTTTTAAAGTATATACAAACCATTTATTATCTTAGTAATAGTATGACATCACCAGAGCAAAGTTAGCCTATTTAGTGCAATTTAGTTAGCACTTTAATACCAAAAGCTTTCAATATTACTGTAGCTTGATTTTCCAACAGGTTATATAAATCTATGAGTTACCTTTAAAGGTAGCAGTCATATTAAAGACTGCACCATAAATTCTATTTTAAATACCCTTTATTGCTTGTGCAAATTGATGAAGTATGAAAAATATATTGTAGGGTAATAAAATAATCAATTGAATAGGTGTAGAATGCTGTAATAGCTCACATTTACTGCCTGGAAGGCATTCATTTTTGTTTTTAATAATGGCTTTACACAAATACAAAAATGAATTGTTGAATTAAAATCTTTTAAATGATTTTTAACTGAACGATTGAACAAAATATTCAACTTTAGAAAAGATTTTTTAAAGTTTCCACACATCACTAAACTCATGACTTTATTCCTCATTTTATATCATACAAAAGTGTATGTATTTCAGAGCTATAAAGTATATATCTTATCATACCGATTATAAATCTTCAGTTAGATTTTGAATTTTTTATGTGGTAAATTTTGTTTACATCCTTTACACTTAGAGATAACAAAACAGAGATTTGTGTATCAATATATTTCAATGCATTGCTTATATAATCCTAGTCGCTATAACATGCAAATATTTGCCTACATGATTTATGGTTTCTCACTTTATTGATAAATATCTAAATAATGTGCAGCTTTATTTCCATTGCTACAATTCATGTGTATATATATGCATGCATGTAACTACAATGACTTAATTTATCTTCATATGCAATCATTAAAAAAAAACCTTAGAGATTTGTAAGATCTTGACAATAAAGTTTCTAGGTGTTCAACTTTATTAAACAAGATTTTTAGTGCATCATCTTTACAACATTCAGATAAAATTTGGATTACATTAGGCAATTCAGATTATAATAAATAGTTTATAAAATTTCTGTCAGTCATAAAAAAGGTGGCCATTTTGAAATGTGGACTGAAATGTAGAAAACACAAACTCCTACAACTTACCGTCACTGACTTTGAACCCTATAACTGGTAGAATCTGATACAGTGTTAGTTTGCTCCTCCGTAAACCATACTGAGAGAGCCATTTCTTGGAATTGACGAGAGATCTTACATCCATTTCCCATGTTTGTGCAGGAGTTTTCTGTAAGCTGACTTCTGGATTGTATTCCTCTACTGCTCTCTCAGTGTTTTCAATCCCAACTTTAATCTTCGAAGCATATGGTGTCTTGTATTCAATATCAAATGATACATCTGAAATAAGTGTTCTGTACATCAACACACATTTTAATATGTAGGTTTCTTAAAACTGACATGTGCATTAAAGAATTTGACTACCTTTTTTTCAATTCATTATGCTGAGAGAATTTTTTTCAAAAATAAAAAAAAAACAAAATAACACACTATTGAGTTAAGGGACAACTGAAAAAAAACCAAAGAAATAGGAAATGCATTCATTTCCAAGATGTTTAAAAATTATGACTAAAAGTCATCAGGTGTTATAAAATAGAACAAAAAACTCTTTTAAATAAAAAATTAATCACATCTGACTTAAAAATAATTATAGTTCAAATTCTTTCAAGTACAAATTCTTTATTGAAGTCTCTCAGACACATAAAGTGTTACAAGAGGAATTCAATACATATTCAAAGGAGATTCCCTTCAAAAACAAATTCCTTCTATAACCTTTATTTATGTTTAGTAACTTATGGTAGGTTTATATTATAAAAGCAATGAAACAACAATTCATCATTTGTATCATAGTTCTAAGACTAAATAATACAAAACGTATGTAATGTGCAGTATTATACAAGGGCTCCAGGCTGTGAGTACAGAGTCTTTTAACATCATACTAATTTGATCCAGTGATGCCATATTGCTTGAAAGTAATGCTATGAGTATCTGAAATGATTTTCTTATACACTGTGAACAGATGGGATGATAGGATCTGGTAGTAACTTATCAGTTAATAAGCTAATCACAAAGTCATTTTTTGAAAAATCTAATTAAAAACAAAGATTCAATATTTCAAGATTTATTCTGATACACTCTGACACATTAGAAGTACTTCAAGAGGAAAATAAGATATCCTCCAATTACTTTCATGTTACCTTAAAATGAAATACATGTAATGTTTTTTTCAAAGTTCAAAGAGATTTTAAAACAGAAAGCAAATATTTTCATCATTTTTGCTAAAAATACAAAGGAGAAGGTCCAGTAAGGGCTAGTTTTGGCCTAAAATTCGAAGTACACCTGATGAAAGATTTTTGACTTTTTTTAAACACTTAAGTGTCTACTGCAGTCGTTTCAATTAGTTCATGTAAAAGATTTGAAATGATTTGGTCATTAAAGAAACTCAAATTCAAACTTAAATATGAAAAATCTATCAAATATGCCATAAAACGTCACTTTTCAGATGCTTTTTGTCAAAAATGGAAGTGGCCGCATTCATGTCCAGTTGCAACCTTTAAATATGTTATGTATTATCATCAAATACAACATGTATTTAAATATCAAGACTGAACCCTTATGCGGCCACTTCCATTTTAGACAAAAACCGTCTTAAAATTAGCACAAATGCTAAAATTGTGAAGATTTCAGTAATTTTGCATGAATTGATGATGCTAGTACCTGATGCCTGTGCATTGCATTGTCAAAAAACAGCCCATATTTTTAAAATAAAAGTATTCTACTTTCCAATAGATAGGAAAAAGTTTACATTTCAACAAATTTGTAAAAATGCTATATTTTGGGGCAAAAAAGTGGTCTTACCAGACCTACTCCTTTATTTTAATTAATCTTGTTACTTTTTAAAAGCAAATTTTGATTAAACATGTTAAACTGACTGTGACTTTTCTTGTATAAGCATTCAATTAAATGGAATTTATTAACTCTATTTGATTAAAGGTTCTCATTCATGTATAATGCAATATCGGATATTAAATTTTTCTCCCATTTACAGGTCAAATGTAAATAAAGGATGCAAACAAGACATTTGTGCATTAGGAATCGATCAGAATATTTCTGTAACCAATGGTAATTGGTACATGTATGATTATGATAACCAATTACCAATTGCTCTTACTGTTTAAGACATAAAATTTTGATATCTTTGAAAATAAATGATCAAACAATTTGACTGTTTTCCTCGATGTTTAAGGTTATAAACTGTCATGTGGTTTACTTTCAATGTTCCAGAATGACAAATTATGTTTAATCAAGCATATTGATCATGTCCTTTATTCAAAACTTATAAAAACAGGTTATTATCTAGTATTTAAAAGTAAAAAAAAAAGAGTTGTGTTTCTCTACCCTATGCTAATTTTTCTTCCCTACCCTTACACATTGTATGGACATTTTTGGTTAAAGTTAAAACCGAGAACATTGCCCTATATGTAAAAAATTTACATAAAAATTCATTGTAATATAATTTTATCAACCTGCCTAATCTTTTTGTTTCTGCCAGGAAGTAGGAAACAAGTATATATTTTTTTTGGCCTAAAGTGTATTATAACTTAGGATACTCTTGATAAGTAAAGTTGTTTCAAATCTATGCCTATGGAGAAACTTCAAATTTACTATCACTGGTACTGAAGAAAAATGCTTCCTTTAGATAAATAGACCTAGCTAGAAAGAGGGATACTACTATCACTGTGGTGTCATGTTTAATAATTCATACAATAGCATTAAAAAAATAATGCCTTTTCAATTTGGCAAGCTCCTAACAATCCTGCAAAGAAACTTAAAGTCTTAAACATGTTAAAGCAGTCTAATAATTATATATGAACAAAATCAGGATAATCTGGAAAAATTCCAAATAAATAATAATTAAATGAAGAAAATGACAACACGGCATAACAAAAAATTATAAATATGCATACGAATATATGATTATAAAACCTTTATATCTAGATTCAGTACATTGCAAACTACAAAACATAAGCTCTATGGAGCTTCTAATCAACATGAAGATACCAATCAAAAATCATTAGTTTCATAAAGATAGACAATAGTGAACACCATAGCCAAAAGAAAAAGTCGAAGAGACAACTCTCTACAAATAAACACTAAAAACTAAAGATTGGTTGGTAGTATTGGCTACTGCTCAGTCTGCTGTTGAAATCAAATAAAAAATATGCCCTATTATACATGTATTTTGCTTATCTGATGCCAGTGATACATTACTTTAAAATATTGTTTATTTTGTTTGATCAGTTTGAGATTTTCAAAGCACATTAGATGAGTAAAACAGTACAAAGTTAAGGGTATCCAATATCTGACGTTTTTAAAAAAAAAATCATCCTAAAACATTTAAAATTTGGATTCAAGTTATAAGAAAATAAAAAAGTATGAAATAAAAATTGCTTTTGAAGAATCTGCAGTTAACTTGTTTAATCATTACTTTAGTGTCAAAATTATTTTGATAATAGATAATATTTGAGATAAGATCATATAGGCTGGATCTAAAATTTTTGTCTTACTATTTCCATTATCATGATTACACTGTATAATAGACAATTTAATTGTATTTAAAATCAATGCAAAGTTGTCAAATACCTGTATCTTCAGGTAGAAGTGTAAATAGATTTACATTGTAGTTTAATAATTTACTTTGTGTCTTATCTTTTAAACATTATTCAGCTGAGCATTTTGATATTTTTATTCTTCCTCCCAGCAAGAAAGTGTTATTATATAACATATATTGATCTTTCTGGCCATGTTGTCCTGCTTATGTAAATATGATTAAGTATTAGAACTAAAATATATGTTTTATTGTCACTTCTCACGTTCAGTTATGGATCTTTAGCAGACTTAAAATGGACAAAGTGTTTTTCACTCATTTTATGGTTAAATTATGTTCATTTTAAACTATGAAAGACACTTTATTCCCTATAATTTTTCACTGAAGTATTTAAAAACAGTATGGCTGTTTCTCATTGGCCAATAAACAATGATAAATGTTTACAATAATGTTTTGTGCAATTTACACATTCAGAACACAAACAATATAAGTCACTATAACATATTGACTTGCTATTAAATTGAATTTGAGAAGGTGAGAATTAACTTTGTCCATAATCTAATGTACCATAAAAGTTGAGTGTTGAAAGGGTATTAATATAATATTGGTTTGCATGTTATCAGAAAATCTTATACTCATTCTTTAGTAAAAATTCATTTAAACAATGATAAGCATGCATCACATTTCTTTTACATCTGGATACACCTTGAAAGAATATATATTTAGGGCTTAATTGATATCTTCCTGATTTTTTCTATGATCATTGTTATGTGAGAATCTTGTTTGTTACTTTAACCATGTTAACTATCATAAAAAAAAAATTTATAAAAAAAAAAACACCAACAAAATTATTTTTTTTATTCAAATAAATTTCATGAATCAAATTGCAAATCACCACAACCTTACATAAAAGAGGGGAAATTCTGCAGTATACATGGTATAAACATGATAAAGAGAAAAAGTTGTTTGAGTCTCAACAAATTTTCATAAAAAAAACCACCCACAAAGCCATATTGAAAAAACAATTAAGGCATTAACCAAGTGTGTGGAAATGATCGAAGTTCAATTAAAAAGAAGTTGTTTGCATTATTATGCATATGTTGCATGCATGAACTTTTATTTGTTTTCTCTTATTCACAGCTGACAGCAATCTTGTTTATGCATTGCTTCTTTGCATAAAATTTATGCTATTTTTGTATTTGTAAGAATGTTTCAAATGTATATACATTTACATGTGAAAAGATACTGGAGAGCCTGTACAATGTCATGTTCTTTTCACATGCAAAATGGTTTTCTTAAACTGACAAAATAAAATTGCTATTTTTGTAAATCATGCTGTCTCAATTAAGAAATATTAATGTTCAGTACATTTAAACTATAATGCCAATGACATTTATAAATGACATAAAAATAAGAAGATGTGGTACATGTATGATTGCTAATGAGACAACTTACTAGCAGAGACCAATTGCTTAGAAGGTAATCAACTATATATATAGATCACTGTACTGCCTTAAACAATAAGCAAAACTGATACCGCATAGTGAGCTATAAAAGGCGACGAAATGACAAATGTCAAACAAGAAAACCAACGACCTGATTTCTGTACAAAACAATAAACCAAAAACAAATATGATCTAAATATATACAGCAACAAACGCCAACCACTGCAGTTTGGTGTATAAAACGAAAAACCTTGAACAACATGGCAGTGCAATAACACTTTTTTCTGGTTTTCCTTTTTTCCAGATTTTTCATAAAAATAATGAAGAAGCATACAATTTCCAGCAAATTTGATTATTTGTACACCAAAAAAAGATTAATCAGCAAATGATTTCCCTGCAAATTTATATATTTGACCAAGGATTTGTATAGTACTATACAAATCCTTGATTTGACTGACGAAAAGTAAGATGGCTAGTATCAAGACAAAAAAATTAATATTTTGTAACCAATCAAATAAAAAAAAGCTTTATTTATAGAAGATACAGCCAATATAAACCATGGGGAGCTCACCAGATAGTAGCTACCTCATATGTCATGTATTTGTCAAATCTTAATTATAACATGTATATATATATACAATTCAATATTTGCTTTGATTAATATTAATGACTTACGGTCTGAATAAGCATTCTTCCTGTAAGGGTCTAATGCATACAAAGCTGCTGCTGTCATTTTCAAGTTTTATGTGTGAATGATAAACTCCAAGAGATTTGATTTTGACACTTTTCAATATCACAAATATCAATTAAATAAGATTGAAGATTTAAAACAATAGCAAAAGGTCCGCAATTTTTTTCCCGAATACCTCACAGAAATTTCTTATATTACATTGTTCTGACTTTTTAAGTGTTAATTCACGATTTTTAAGTTCAAAATCGCCGACCCCTGCATCGCCATATTGTACACAACCACAGTTGCTTGGCATTCGTTTTTCTCTATAGTTTTCAAGTCTAACCCCATGTAAAATTAATCTGATGGGAAACTCTAGAGAAGTTCTTTTCACAAATTGGTTACCGCCCTTTTACTCATTTAAACTGTTTGGATAGCGAAAATCGATAACGACCAAATCGTTAAAAAACAGATGCCTGTTTTTTCAGGTGCAATTAATTCATTTGTTTGGCGACAGCATTTATTTTAACACATTATAAGAAAGATTATTTATGCAATCAGAGAAAATAAAAATAAAGAAATTAATGAAAAGAATACAATTGTGATGACGTAGTACGCCTAATGAAATCGGGAAGTAAGAAATGAAAACAAAATGGCCCCGGCTGCTGTCAGAGTTTGTTGTGCCTGTGTTCGGTGGTTTCCTGTAGTTTTCATTACAGCAGTTATTGTCTGGTCGTACTACGCTTATGTGGTTGCTTTGTGTGTCTGTAGGTGTATTTTTCTTTAAGAAAAGTTATAAGAAATGATGTACACAATCATGGTGAAAAGTAAAATCACAAAAATACTGAACTCCGAGGAAAATTCAATCGGAAAGTCCCTAATCACATGGCAAAATCAAATGACAAAACACATCAAACGAATGGACAACAACTGTCATATTCCTGACTTGGTACAGGCATTTTCAAATGTAGAAAATGGTGGATTGAACCTGGTTTTATAGCGCTAAACCTCTCACTTGTACGACAGTCTTATCAAATTTCGTTATATTTACAACGATGCGTGAACAAAACAGACATTATAAATAAAATAGTCAAAATATGGGTACAGCAGTCATCACTGTGTTACAATATCAAAACAAACAATTATTTACAAAAAAAGCACAAAAGCATCTATCAAATTAAGACCCACATTCATTGCTTCGCGTGTCTGACGTCAGAAAATGTAAACGTCACATAAGAAAAAAGTTTGTCATTCAATGTCTATTCAAAACAATTTTATAATTTCACATGGGGAATGTTGGTATACAGGGTTAAAAAATCAAAAGTTATGTTAGAATTAATTTCAGAAATAGACCGAGATTTATAATTGTCCAGAAGTTCTTCAGAACCCTTAAGAATCCACATATGGTAAATACCACTACGCGAGTAAAATAAATTTGTCGTTTGTCGTTCAAAGTATTTTCAAATTTATAATAGAACAATAACATAATGACATATAATAGAACAATAACATAATGACGGGATCTTTTAAAGTACAGAGTCACGTTATAAGAACCACAGAAACACAAAAAGTCGCATATACAAAACACACCAGTAAAAATTAAAGATAATACAAACACATTGACGGGATGTATAAGTACCTAGCCACGTCAAATGGATATCACAGAAAACAAACCAAACAGTAAAAGTAATATTAATAATAGAACAAAGACAAATGAAAGAACAATATTACACGTTGTTAAGATGATAAACAACGTCAGTATGCAGAATCTATACTTCAAGACCATCATGTATTGTTTGTGAAGTTGATACGGAATATTTATCAACAAGGTCTTGGTACCTTCCGATGAACTTTTTTAGAAAAAGGACGAGACGTTCTTTGACATACCCCTGGTTCATCAACTTTCTGCTCAGACACTGGTGACGTTTTACAAAGTCTGAGTAAGAGCTGCAAGCTCTTGAATATCGAATAAGTTGGGAAATGTATATCCCATATGCAGGTGAAGTTGGTATATTGCTACTAAGGTGGGGGAAATTTATAATTTTAAAATTAAAATCGTCTCGTTTGTCATAGATTCTGGTACTGAGATGACTGTGTATGTCAAATTCGAGATATAAGTCTAAAAATGAGGCGGAGGAAGCCGTGTCTGTTGTTTCTTTAATTTCTAGTTCTGGGGGATATATTAATGGAACCCAATCAGAAAAGTTCGGATTGTTAATGGAAAGAACATCATCAATATATCTAAAAGTGAAATTAAATAATCTGGCTTCTTTGATCTTCTTGTTTTTGACAAGTGTCTGAAGGAACTCCGATTCATATGAAAATAAGAAGAGGTCGGCAAGGAGAGGCGCACAGTTCGTTCCCATAGGAATGCCGACAATTTGTTGAAAAAGTCTACCTCCAAATTCAACAAATATGTTGTCGATAAGAAACTCCAGCATACTGATCACTTGTTCTTCTGTGTAGCATGTTTTACCCTTTTGTTCACTATTAACAAAATATGCCTTATGATATCCCAAAGTAATAAATTTATAGCGTATGCTACCATTTTTATGATGAAAGGCATTGTGGATTATTTCTTTCAAGCGATTTTTCAATTTCACATGGGGAATGGTGGTATACAGGGTCATCCCGATTTTACATTCATTTTTTTCCAAACTATGAATGAAACCAGTGTTCTTTCGGACAGTTTGACACAACTAGATTACTAGAGACATGTCGTTACAAGTATTGTGGTCGCCAAGTTCAGTTGATCCCAAATGATTATGATATTGACTAGTAGACACATGAACACGGACCCATACTATATAATTTCTGATACTGTAGAAGGGGTGTGAGACTCGGACCGTCTACAAAAGAGATGACTCGGACCTTCTTCTATTGAGATGACTTGGACCTTCTTCTATCGAGACAACTTTGACCAACTATAAAGTCAACTCTGACCGTCTATTAATTCAACTCGGACCATCAACAAGTCAACTCGCACTGTCAAGAAAAGGAATAGTTTTGATGCCTGTTTTTACTGTAATTTGTAAATGACGGGGGAAAAAAGACAGTCCTATTTGACTATTGACAGTCCTTAGATTAAAAAAATAATAAATTAATATAAAAAATTCAACCTCTACTTTTTTGCTGAAATTGTAATGATTTGTGCCAAAATTGTGGATCTATTCCCCATTCGATATGTGTCCTATCATTTCTTTGGTGTTGGGTTGCATATAAGTTAGTGACACATCTCTGTTAATCCTTATAGGGAGTGTACACAGATTCCTCTGTATCCTTGCAGCTCTAGAAGGTTATTTTTGAATAATGGGGGAATTTACCTACATACATGTACATACAATTTGCCATTTCAGAATCTAAAGGACCGTGGGTTATTTCATTGTTCGTATCCCAAAATGAAATTAGCCACGCTATTGGTTAAATTCCCATTGTTCGGTCAGGGGAATTACTGAATAAGTGATTTTTTAATTCACTCAGTTAAGTAGCAAATTAGAAATTCTGTGATTTTGCAGTTTTACCAAAATTTTAACCATTCAGGTTTAGATTATATCTAATTATTAGTAAACTAGAAAAAAATGGACCTTTTTCTTCTTTTAAGTAGCAAGGTATATATGCCTTTGATGCAATCATTCATCTGTAAATTCTAAGTTTGTTGAAAAAATGCTATAATAAAAGCTCTATATAATGATCTATTACTTTCTTAACAGATTTTTACCGGCAGTGGGAGTATTTTTCCTGTAAAATTCAAAGGTTTCACCTCTCAGATTATGGAATAAAATTTAACTGTTCTCGAACAAAATTTAATTGTTCATGGGTGTTGAAAATAGTGGGGGTTATTAATGAAATGATACTTCAAGAAGTGATTTTTTTGGAAGAAAATAAAGGTATGATACTCAGACATGAGGTCAATTACTTTTGAAAGTAATTAATTACATTCAATTACGATTACAAAATCTTCAATTAAATTACACATTACATTTGACTTTTATTGACAATGTAATTAATTACTTTCCAATTACTTGGCAAATGTAATTACTTACTTCAATTACTTTTGAAAGGAAAATATAGAACATGCATTTATTCTATCATATGTACATAATTATCATACGTTGCTTTATAGTAATAACAAATGAGATCTACAGTGACTATTTTCAAATTCAGCCAGTATCAAAGAAGAGTAAAAGTTAAATATCTGGTGTGTTACAGGAATAAAGAAAAAACAAACATAAATCTGAAGTGCACATAATAATTTGTCTATCAGGAATCATTAGATTAGGACTAGATGTCTGGTTTAATTTAATGTGCAAAATGATGAAAAGCCTTATTCAATATTTGGAAAATATTAAATTTTGTTTAATTACCTATTGAAATTTTATGTTTTAATGTATTTCATTGAAAATGATACAAGAAGATACTTTTAAACACAAATTATAGCATGTTTCTACAATACTTTTTGTTCATTCATTACAAAATAAAAAATCTTCCATGGTTGTGTAATTACAGAAGGTATACTGTGTAGGCTTTGATTTGTCAGCTAACTACATTTGCTAAGGTCATGGCTTTTCGTAATTTTTTGAGAAAACACAAGATTCAATCTTTCTGACCCCAAATTTCAAATGTAATTGAGTTGTAATTGAAAAGTAATTGTCAATTACAGACAATTTTGGCTTTGTAATTCATTACTTTCAATTACTTGTAATTGAAAAAATGCTCAATTACACATTACATTCAATTACTTGAGAAATTGTAATTAATTACAGCCAATTACAATTACATATTTCAATTACCCCATGTCTGATGATACTTGAACAAGTGATTTTCATGTCATTATCCCAGATTCTGTGTAGGGTCATCACCTGACATGACTTGGCATCCTATAAACACAGATGTTGGTTCTGATAATTTTAGCATCATAATTAGTCCCAGGATCATTAATATTATTTATTTAAAGCTACAATAGAATAAAATCACTTAATCTAGTGATTTATTTGTACTACTTAAATAGGTGACTATCAAAGAAAGACTACTCCTACTTGCAACATTTCGTGACAAAATGTTACTTGAAAAAGTGATTTAAGAAATCGCTCATTTTAGTAATTCCCCTGACTGTTTGGTGTACACTTTTGAAAATTACCCAGAATGCATTAGATCCTGAAACGGCATATAGGTTGAGCTAAACCTGTTAATGTCCAGTTTCTACCTTTTAGATATTAGTTTTAGATTATTAAACAACATTTATGAAATAAATGAAAAATGAAAAATTGCAGTTTTCATAATTTGAATTTTCTATATAAAAGAGTTGGATCAAATGTCATGTATCTCATAGATTAACTTTATTTGTTAAAAAAACCTAAAAAAAACAAACATCTATTTTTTTTTGTCATGACATCATGGTAAGTGTAAAATTACAGTTGTCCTAATATAAATCAATAATTCTTATATGATTTGCATATAAGGGAGTATGTTTATATGATTGTTGGAGAGGGCATCTGGAAGTGGCTCTTGAAGTTGTTTATTTTTTGATAAGACGACGTTGACGGAACTACTTTTTGTTACCAATGTAAACAAGATGGCGGCGATGATAACACAAACCAGCTCGATGTAAAAAATATTATTTTCACTTCACGTTCTTCGTTAAATTAAATAATAAACACAAAACATTTATTTGAATGATAATAAAATATTTATGTAGTTTTATTTTTTATCAGAAAGCAGATTTCATGGAATACATTTTTTTGCGTTAACCAAAAAATATATTTATGCGCCAGGCCAATTCAGTGACACAAATATACAATTTCTGTGTGAAAGAGGTTACGGGTAGGGAAAAAAATTCCTTTAGAAAGGCGTTTAATCCTGTATTATTTGATATTACCTTAAAATCATGCATGTCATATTTTGACAATTATTTAATTTGATTAATTAAATTTAAATGCTATGAAAGAAAACATGATACAATGTTTTATTGAATTGAAAATTCAAACAATAGTAATGGACAGTAGACATGTTAGAGAGTGAAATTAAAGATAAATTGAGGTTTTAAAAGTTTTTAATAGGGAAAATAAAATATTTTTGCTTAATAAAGCTGAATTCTGGGCATATAAAAGTTTGCCTAAGGTTTTTAGTCCCCTATCAACGAAGTCGAAGGAGACATTAGGTTTGCACTCCATCCGTCTGTCTGTCTGTGTCTGTCCATCCATCAGTCCGGCAAATCAGTTTTCCACACTTTTTTCGTCATGTTTGAAGATATTGATTTGATATTTGGTGTATTGTGTTATCATGACAAGTTACAGATCAAGTTTGAATTTTGTTCCGGTCTGATGATATTGTGCAGAGTTATGGTCCTTAAACTTAGAAAATTCACTCAAGTAATCAGTTTTCCTCACATTTTTTTGTCATGCTTGAAGATATTGATTTGATAATTGGTATATAGTTTCATCATGACAAGTTACAAATCAAGTTCGAATTCTGTTCCGGTCTGATGATTTTGTGCAGAGTTATTGTCATTGGACTTAGAAAAATCACTCAAATAATCAGTTTTCCTAACTTTTTTGCGTCATGCTTGAAGATATTGATTTGATAATTGTTATAGTTTACACCATGACAAGTTATAGATCAACTTAGCATTTTGTTCCAGTACAATGAATTTTTAACTGGTAGGGGACTATGCATGCTATGTATTGCCAGGCAATACTCACAGAATACTTGTTAAAATTGATTACAATATTTTAAGCTGCCATTAGATCATTAATTTTATCGAATGGTAAATGATTGATGTTTCAGACTTTTTTGGATGCAATTTGGACATGTCGAACAAATAGCAAATTGAACATATTTTGTTTTAACTATTTTATTTGGTTAAATATGACTAATAATGATTAATTACCTTTTTGTCCTTTCCAGATACTGTGCCAAGTATTGCAGAAAAAGGTATGTTACAAACTACATAACTAAATAATTTAATTTTGATGTAACAAGTCTTCTTATTGGCTGAAAGTTTTTTGTCTATCAACTCTTAGACCTAATTTTGTCATGTGACCATGACATCACCAACGTTTTTTCATGACTTACTCCTTAAAAATGGAATTTGGAATTAAATTATAAGGAATGGCTCTTAATATTTTTTCTGTCAGTTGTTTTCTGAAGTATCTGATCCATGATTATCTCATCTATTTATTTAACATTTTGTCACAATTTGAATTATAATGATACCTGAGTATGGTTAAAGAGGTGATTTAAAGGGAAATACAAATTAAGTTTGATGTTTCATTATTTTACATCATTAGTTTAAAATTCTTTGCATAGTCCGTAGATAAATGCCTTTATGAATTAATCCAGGGAATGGTTTTTCTATGACAAAGAGCATTAAAAAAAGAATTCTATGAAGAGGCTACACCTTATACAGTAGCTGTCTTAGTATATTTATCATCCATGATCCAATGCTGAAATTAAAAGTGAAAAATTGTAAGAATTCAAAGAAAAACAAAACCAAATTCAGAAATAAGGGTTCAGAAAGAGAAAGTGTTTTTTTCGCAATTCATCAATGCACTATCTTATTATTAAATGTATGTATATATTTAGAAACACATCAATAAATGATTTCTATTTGCAGTTATATACCTGTTAATCTACCATCCTATATTGGTGATATTTCTGTGGGCCTATGCCAAAACTATATTTACAGATGTTGGATCAGTTCCTCGTTCAGTAAGTAATCATCCAGTATCTGTATTGACATGTATGCTATCAGTATTTCTATAACTCAGTGTTGACCAAGGCTTCCAAAACAGTCATATATTCCGGACAATTGTATAATGTCCGGTAAAAATCCGGCTGGGCAAAGCATGAAACGGTCATCTACTTTTTAGTTGTCAAGGCTTTCTTAAGAGACGGTCATTTTAGCATAATTCGTGATCTTTTTGACCCAACCTTTTGCCTTTAACAGCCACACATTTCCGGTCATAAAAGTGATATGATGATTAATTACTATCAAAACAACCCCTACTTCAATACTTTCTAATTTTAATCAAGGCTAATTAGTTGTTGGACAGCTGAAATCTACCTGTTCAGGTGACAGGTAAACTATTTCCAGTACCGGACATCGTATAAATTGATCGGTCTATTCAAAGTTTATTTCTTACATTTCAGAGGTTTCTATCTAATTGATGTAGTCCAAAAGATTGAAATTATAAGAAATACGTTTATAAACATGATTTGATGAAAAATTTAAAAAGGTTTTAAATGAAAAATTGTAAGAACTACATTGTATGAACTAGAACACGTGTGCGCATGTGCGCAGTAGGGAAATTTAATTATGCATCCTACATTTCTTAAAAAATGATAAAAATTATCATTGATACCTGTATCTAACGTTCATTTCAAGTATTTTGTTGAAGAAATAACGTGGAAAGAGCTTCTTCATTCAGTCGTGCTTTGTAAACGTACATGGATTTTATGTATCTGTTTCTGGTCCATGTTTTACCATTGTCAGGTCAACATCTGGTATTAGGAAAATGTGATTTTAAAAACGAAAGTAAAGTTTTTGACAACATAATTTTGCACAAATAAAGAGTCTAAGGCAGTTATGAGCACACTGATGTGCACACTTCGAATTATACACTGCCAATTTAACAGTTTACGTCCGAATATCAAATTCACACCAAAGTAAAGTTTAATATCATTTTTTAGCTCACCTTGCCCGAAGGACCAAGTGAGCTTTTCTCATCACTTGGCGTACGGCGTCGTCCGTCGTCGTCGTTAACTTTTTACATTTTGAACTTCTTCTAGAGAACTACTGAATGGAATGAAACCAAACATGGCATGAATGTTCCTTATGAGGTGCTTACCAAGTGTTGTTACTTTGTAGCGGATCCATCATCCAAGATGGCCGCCAGCGGGGGACTTAGTTTAGCATAGGACCCTATGGGAAATACATACAAATGTCTTCTTTTAGAGAACCACTGAATGGAATGAAACCAAACATGGCATCAATGTTCCTTATGAGGTGCTGACCAAGTGTTGTTAATTTGAAGCCGATCCATAATCCAAGATGGCTGCCAGCGGGGGACTTAGTTTAACATAGGACCCTATGGGAAATACATACGAATGTCTTCTTTTAGAGAACCACTGAATGGAATGAAACCAAACATGGTATGAATGTTCCTTATGAGGTGCTGACTGAGTGTTGTTACTTTGAAGCCGCTTCAAAATCCAAGATGGCCGCCAGCGGGGGACTTAGTTTAACATGGGACCCTATGTGAAATACATACAAATGTCTTCTTTTAGAGAACCACGGAATGGAATGAAACCAAACATGGCATGAATGTTCCTTATGAGGTGCTGACCAAGTGTTGTTACTATGAAGCCGATCCATAATCCAAGATGGCCGCCAGCAGGGGACTTAGTTTAACATTGGACCCTATGGGAAATACATACAAATGTCTTCTTTTAGAGAACCACTGAATGGAATGAAACCAAACATGGCATGAATGTTTCTTATGAGGTGCTGACCGAGTGTTGTTACTTTGAAGCCGATCCATAATCCAAGATGGTCGCCTGCAGGGGACTTAGTTTATCATGGGACTCTATGAGAAATACATACAAATGTCTTCTTTTAGAGAACCACAGAATGGAATGAAACCAAACATGGCATGAATGTTCCTTTTGAGGTGCTGACCGATTGTTGTTACTTTGAAGCCGATCCATAATCCAAGATGGCCGCCAGCGGGGAACTTAGTTTTACATGGGACCCTATGGGAAATATATACAAACGTCTTCTTTTAGAGAACCACTGAATGGAATGAAACCAAACATGGCAAGAATGTTCCTTATGAGGTGCTGACCAAGTGTTGTTACTTTGAAGCTGATCCATCATCCAAGATGGCCACCAGTTGGGGACAGTGTTTAACAAAGGACCCTATGGACATTACATACACATGTCTTCTTTTAGAGAACCACTGAATGGAATGAAACCAAACATGGCATGAATGTTCCTTATGAGGTGCTAACCAAGTGTTGTAACTTTGAAGCCGATCCATCATCCAAGATGGCCGTCAGCGGGGGACCTAGTTTAACATAGGACCCTATGGGAAATACATACAAATGTCTTCTATTAGAGAACCACTGAATGGAATGAAACCAAACATGGCATGAATGTTCCTTATGAGGTGCTGACCAAGTGTTGTTACTTTGAAGCAGATCCATCATCCAAGATGGCGCCGGCGGGGGACTTAGTTTAACATAGGACCCTAAGGGAAATACATACAAATGTCTTCTTTTAAGGAACCACTGAATGGAATAAAACCAAACATGGCATGAATGTTCCTTTTGAGGTGCTGACCAAGTGTTGTTACTTTGAAGCCGATCCATAATCCAAGATGTCCACCAGCGGGGGACTTAGTTTAACATAGGACCCTACGGGAAATACATACGAATGTCTTCTTTTAGAGAACCACTGAATGGAATGAAACCAAACATGGCATGAATGTTCCTTATGAGGTGCTGACCAAGTGTTGTTACTTTGAAGCCGATCCATAGTCCAAGATGGCCACCAGCTGGGGACAGTGTTTGACAAAGGTCCCTATGGACAATACATACACATGTCTTCTTTTAGAGAACCACTGAATGGATTGAAACCAAACATGGCATGAATGTTCCTTATGAGGTGCTGACCAAGTGTTGTTACTTTGAAGCCGATCCATCATCCAAGATGGCCACCAGTTGGGGACAGTGTTTGACAAAGGTCCCTATGGACAATACATACACATGTCTTCTTTTAGAGAACCACTGAATGGATTGAAACCAAACATGGCATGAATGTTCGTTATGAGGTGCTGACCAAGTGTTGTTACTTTGAAGCCGATTCATAATCAAAGATGGCCGCCTGCGGGGGACTTAGTTTAACATAGGACCCTATGGAAAATATTTACAAATGTCTTCTTTTAGAGAACTACTGAATGGAATGAAACCAAACATGGCATGAATGTTCCTTATGAGGTGCTGACTAAGTGTTGTTACATTGAAGCCGATCCATCATCCAAGATGGCCACCAGAGGGGGACTTAGTTTAACATAGGACCCTATGGGAAATGCATACAAATGTCTTCTTTTAAGGAACCACTGAATGGAATGAAACCAAACATGGCATGAATGTTCCTTTTGAGGTGCTGACCAAATGTTGTTACTTTGAAGCCGATCCACAATCCAAGATGGCCACCAGCGGGGGGACTTAGTTTAACATAGGACCCTATGGGAAATACATACAAATGTCTTCTTTTAGAGAACCACTGAATGGAATGAAACCAAACATGGCATGAATGTTCCTTTTGAGGTGCTGACCAAATGTTGTTACTTTGAAGCCGATCCACAATCCAAGATGGCCACCAGCGGGGGGACTTAGTTTAACATAGGACCCTATGGGAAATACATACGAATGTCTTCTTTTAGAGAACCACTGAATGGAATGAAACCAAACATGGCATGAATGTTCCTTATGAAGTGCTGACCAAGTGTTGTTACTTTGAAGCCGATCCATCATCCAAGATGGCCACCAGTTGGGGACAGTGTTTAACAAAGGACCCTATGGACATTACATACACATGTCTTCTTTTAGAGAACCACTGAATGGATTGAAACCAAACATGGCATGAATGTTACTTATGAGGTGCTGACTAAGTGTTGTTACTTTGAAGCTGATCCTTCATCCATGATGGCTGCCAGCGGGTGGACTTCCTTTAACATAAGACCCTATTGGAAATACATACAAATGTCTTCCTCTAGAGGTGCACTGAATGGAATGAAACCAAACATGGCATAAATGTTTCTTATTAGGTGTTGATGAAGTGTTGCTACTTTATTGCTGATTTACTGTTCAAGATTGCCACCAGGATTTTTTATTAAATTACAGGGCCAATATTAAACCAAATTTGGCCTCACTCATTATTAGGGTATCTGTTATGATTTTAATCTATTTTAACATGATTTCCAAAACCAAAGTAGAATCAGGTGAGCGACACAGGCTCTTGAGAGCCTCTAGTTTTTAATCTAATGTCAATCATTGGGATGGCCATCTGATTACCATAATTGCCTTTTGTGACTTAGTCTTAAGGGATTAAAATCGGGATAAGATATAAAATGTCCTGCTGGCTCAAATATTTTTTGGAAGCCCTGGTGTTGACATGTTATATAGTGAGTAGATGAACTACTTGAACAGTAAATTGAAGTCTTGGACTTCTTGCCCACAGAGGTTGAACTGTTGATGTATGATTTTCTATGATTTTAGCATGTTTTCTGTATTTGGTGGCTAATGTATACATGAATACTTCAAAGGAAATCTAAGTACTTTCTTAAATTGTGCATAAATTGTACAATTTTGATATATTTAAGATATGCGTTTGCAAAAAGAAAAATACAAACTAGCCAAAAAATGAAATGGAGATTTTCATCAATATATGTAAATTTAGGCTTATATGATGAAACAACCAGTCAAACATTTACCTGTGATAAAATAAATTTATGTCAATATTTGTTTTTCCAGTTTTATTTGACAGTTCAAGAAATAAACAGATTAGAAAGAGAAAGAGGTGAAGAAGCACAGAAAAATATACTTCTAGAATTAGCCAAAGATAAACCTATACTTAATAGAACACATGCTGGAAGTAAGTTGTAACTTCTAGAATTAGCTAATGATAAACCTATACTTAACAGAATTCATGCTGGAAGTAAGTAGTAACTTCTAGAATTAGCCAATGATAAAGCTATACTTAACAGAACACACGCTGGAAGTAAGTTACTTCTAGAATTAGCCAAAGATAAACCTATACTTATCAGAACACATGCTGGAAGTAAGTTACTTCTAGAATTAGCCAAAGATAAACCTATAGTCTATACTTAACAGAACACATGCTGGAAGCAAGTTACTTCTAGAATTAGTCAAAGATAAACCTATATTAATAGAACACATGCTGGAAGTAAGTTACTTCTAGAATTAGCCAATGATAAACCTATACTTTAATAGAACATGCAGAAAGTAAGTTGTAACTTTTATCATCAGCCAAAGATAAACCTATACTTAAAAGAACACATGCAGGAAGTAAGTTGTAACCTAATTAAACTATTTATAGTAATAAACTACATCAATCATAAAATTATAAAATGATTACGAATGATTTGATATTTCTTAAAAATCAATATGTTGTTGATACAAATTTCCGTTTTAATGATATAAAATAATCGTAGGGTCATGACCTTGTTTTTGACATATTTACCAATCTGTTAACTTTTTGGTTGTTATTGTCCAAAATCAACGTTTTACAGCTTAAAAAATGTGATGATGTTACACTTATCACAATGTTATGTGGTATTTTTTTTACAAACACCACTTTTCAAGATGCATATCAAAAAAAGGAAGTTGTAGACATATTATTATTTTACATCATTGAAACCGAAATTAATGTAGCATCAACATATATCTATTAAACAGAAAATCTAATCATTGATAATTACTTTCATGATTAATAACGTTTTTTCACTGATTTGTATGCTTACTATACAAATGCACATCTAGATGCAAAGAATTCATTCAATAATCATTATAATATATCAGCAAATGGAACAGGCCAATGAATTTTTTATCTATTTTCACTTATAGTTCAAACAGCCAAAGGTGTATGCAAAAGTTTGTCTATTGAGATTTTAATGCATTCCACCTAAATTATTTGCCTTATTCATTGGGTATTCCAGACTTCTTTTTTAGGATAAAATCAATCTAAATGTTAATGGATCTAAAAATTTATTTTTAGGTGCCAGATATTGTGAGAAATGTAAATGTATAAAGCCAGACAGAGCACACCATTGTTCTGTATGTGGACAGTAAGTAGATATAAAACTATTAGGATGGATTCATTGATATTTGTTGGGTAAAGCCACACCATCTATTAACCATCTATATTGTTAAAGCAAATGATTATTATGGATGTATAATTCATGACACAAAATAAATACATGCAAATAAGCAAATTGATATAATTCACAAAAATACATTACACAACTTAAAAAAAAAACGCTTTTGAAATTGATTGATTGATTGTTGGTTGCTTAGCTTAACAGCATATATTATTACCTATATCAATATTTAGTTACAAAAAGGAAAGAAATAGTATGCTGATATACAATAAATCAGTTTCAACTGACAATTAGTTATAAAATTACTTGTAAAGATGTATTATTATATTGTTATGCGTAAACACATTTCAATCTTTTATGTCATTAGTTTTCTTTTATTTTTCCAGAAATTTGAGATCATAATAATTATGCCTTCATAAATATTGCAAAAAACTTTTTTTTTTCCAGATGTGTGTTAAAAATGGACCACCATTGTCCTTGGTAAGTACCTTTAGTGTCATCTTTAGATCATTGAATTATTACTCATAGTTTTAAGTTAAATCAAGTTTTTGATATTCTGATGTCAATGATATGGCAACCAAATGAAACAAAAAACTAAAAGACATCTAGAGGAAAACATACTATCTTCAACATGATGTCTCTCTACAATAGGTCAAGCTGTAAATCATCTAAATCTATTAAAATTGATGAATTAAACCAAAAGTATCTGCCATCAACATCAAATTAGCCAAATATCAAAAAAAAAATGAGACAAACCACTGCAGACATTTCCAGGAGTAAAATGACAATTTTGTTAATAACATTTTTAAGTATATGTATAATTCTAACCAAAATTAAAAATCATTGCAGTTTTTCTAAGTCATTAAAAAATTCCAAGTAATTTTGTAATTTTTAACTTTAGATATAAAAAGAAATTGCAATGATAAGCTGCTGGATGAATGATCAAGATTTGTAATATTTTTCTGCAAGAAAAAAGTTTTCCTCTCAGTAATTAGTTTCTTAAAAATATGTCTTCAAGAGACAGAATCATTTTCTAATATTACTTTTTTATTTTTCAGGGTGAATAATTGTGTAGGATTTACAAACTATAAATATTTTGTTTTATTTCTTGGTTATGGATTGCTGTACTGCTTATTTATAGCATTTACAAGTCTATATTATTTTATAGAATTTTGGACGGTAAGTTGTATATTACTTCATTTATTTTATCTCATTAGAAAAGCCTTAAATGAATTGTACTTTATTCACTACATGGTCAAGAAAAACTTTTATTAAATCATTGATATAAAATTATTTTATAAGGGCTATTCCATTAAGACAGATGTAGGAGGGAAGGAAGGGAAATTTTATTAGGACATGGGTAGTGGCTCATTTATGGTTGTATGTCCATTTGATGTATATAAAAATCTTCAAAGAAAATATGTTGGATGTGGGGTGATCTTGGAAGTTCCTTTTTACCCACCTACATACATTTGAATGGAATAGCCCTTAATATTTTACAAATTTATAGACAAACATTGCATTAATCTTGGGATTAAGAACTTGCGGATTACCTTAAGAAAACGTGTTTAAGTTTCACAGCGATTTAAGTCTTGCTAACTCAGTAATTATTTTTTTATATAATGTATATTCTTACAAGGAAGATGCCTTTGATCTATTATTATAGGTAAATGTTAACTTGGATAGGTCAGTTTCTTAGTACAATCCTATAAAATATGTTTATTCCCCCTCACAGCAATCTTACACACTCAATACAGCTTATATATAAATAGTAACTGAAACAGAGTCAGTCACAAAACTCTACATTGATCAATGAACCATAAAATTAAGTCAAGGTCAGATGAACCCTGTCAGACATATTTGTACTCCGTTACATGATTTTCACACCGAAAAAAGTTAACTCGTTAACATGTTAGCAATTGAGAAACATTTCTTTTTCAGGGGGGTAGTAGTAAAGAGGCTGTAAAGTTCCATGTTTTATTTGTATTTTTCGTTGCTATGATGTTTGGTATAAGTTTGATATCGTTATTTGGATATCATATATACCTCACATGCAGTAATAGATCTACTCTAGGTAAGCATTTGGATATTATATTTACCTAGCATGTGATACAAGATGTACTCACGGTTAACTAGTTGACAAATCATAAAGCAAAAAAAATGTATATTTATTTCTGTTCTTCATCTTCAAGTCATTGAGGCAATCAACACAGAGTAGAGGTTTACACCATGACAACCCTAGGTCCGGATTTTGCAGTGAAGGCAAAAATATGTATTAAGTTGGAAATACACAAGATAAAAACACCATAATTATCTGAGAACAGTCAAATGCATGTAGTAAAATCACAGCTCTGTGGTTACTTGTCTTCAGATTGTTCAACAATGAGCTGATACATCAATGCAAGTTAATGACAGCCACTATTGAAGTTTTGCCAGTATGTATCATAATAAAACAAATAACAAACAAACATCTAGAGCCACATTTTAAAAAGTTTAAAGTTTTTGTGAGACTTTAATCAGCAATTTGTAATTTAAAATTGAATGAAAGTATACATATATACAAATAAAATTTGCAGACAGCATTTATGCAAAGGCTAAAGCATATAATGGTCACCATTTCAAAACCATAAAGTTCCAGTAAATGAAATATTGTGGTAAACAAAGAATTATAATGTTCAATATCTTTGTTTTTTAGAGTCTTTCAGATCACCTATATTCCAGACAGGAGCAGATAAAAATGGCTTCAGTTTGGGCAAATTAAACAACTTCAAAGAAGTTTTTGGAGAGAGAAAACTTTTTTGGTTTTTACCAATTTTTTCAAGGTAAAAAAAAGGAAGAGGATATCTATGTATTGATGTTATATATATTAGACACTACAGGTTTGGGTGTATTTTCACTCTGTAATGATCCTTTTGTCGCTAGCTTGATTCTTGTTATACAAGCCATTTAAATTATCCAACTATTTAGATGAAAACTTGTTGTCTCCCGAATATATGTGGCTTATCATGCTTATCCTCCCAAACTCACAAGTTGATCAGTTTTAATTGAAAATTGAAAAACCTTTTGTTGTAAAATATATTCTTTCCTCCCTGAAAAAAAAATCAAAATATACAAATGGAAGGGTCATCAAGATTCTGTTAAGAAATGACTTGCAGACACATTAATTTTGAATAACATTTTCATTGAAATGTATTATAAAATTCCAATTGTTATCCAATTTAAACATTGCCCCCACAGATTTTTTATGTATATATAATACGGACATGTGGTATGGTTGCTAATGAAACAACTATCCACCAGAGACCAAACAACAAGGATTTAAGCAGTTTGTTTTGGAATAATATATGTCCAGGACATTGTAATAGAGAAGTAGTTATAATATGTTACCGTGTTATATTTTTTGTTGCACCAATACTTGCCATTACTATTGTTCAAACATTTGCTTGGTGTGCAAAAAAGCTTCCTGTGTAAAACTTTCAAAATGTGAAAAAAATTCTTTTAAAAATAAATATAGAACAGATTATTTTAAAGAAACCATGATTGCCATTTTAAGATGCTTTTATTGTTATGTATCTTATATGTGAATAGTGAAAATGTGAAAACTGTTGCTTTGGAATAGATCAAAACAAACTGTGTCATGTTGCAATGTACATAGAGAATAACTGTTATTTTAGGTTGACAAGTTTTTAACATGGATTTTTCTTGGTGCATATGATTATAGGATTAAGGTGGTCCAGATATTAAGTTAATTGTTATTATGCAGCTTTGATTAAGTAGATTTATGGATTATCTATGGTGTTGAAAACGAGAAGGAGTTTTTCGCAGCTACAATCTCATTTGATGGCGATAGCACTGAGATTAGATTTAACCTTTAAACCTCCTTGAGTTGAATGACAGTATATAATCTGCTTATCGTTTTTTTCATAGGCAATGTCAATTAGGTTGGCTTATCTTATCCTCACTCATCTCGACTTAGAAAAACTATTGTTAGTCCAACAGCATGAGATGGAACATTATCACACATAGAGATCAAACCATAAATTTAAAGAAATAGGGATACCAAATTTCTACACGTGTCATTTGAAAGGAGTAGGTTCAGTAAGACCCCTTTTTGGCCCCAAAATATATCAGTTTTACAAAATTGTTATTATGTAATCTTTTAGCTATTTATTAGAAAGTGGAATACCTCTTCTACATAAACATGGTCTGTTTTTGACAATACAATGCACATATATCGGGTACTAGCATCATTAAGACATGCTAAATTACTGAAATCTTCAAAATTTTGCATTTGAGTTAAATTTTAGACGGTTTCGTCTTAAATGGAAGTGGCCGCATTCGTGTTCATTCTTAATATCTAAATGTAAGTTGTATTTGATGATAATACATAACAGTTATAAAGGTTGAAGGTGAACACGGATGCGGCCACTTTCATTTTTGACAAAAACTATCTGAAAAGTGACATATTATGGCATATTTGATGGATTTTCCATATTTAAGCTTGAATATGAGCGTCTGAAATGACTGAATCAGTTCAAATCTTTCTCACAAACTATTTGAATCGACTGAAGTAGACACTTAAGTGTTTAAAAAGTGTACAAAATCTTTCATCAGATGAACCTCAAATTTGAGGCCAAAATTGGCCCTTACCGGACCTAGTCCTTTGTTTAATGATTGAACAGATGTCTACAGTGATGTTATGGAATAACAGTTATTCTCTGATGTACTGTACACTTTAGATAATGTACATTTATATAGCTATAACTACAGTTACCATATAAATTACAGTGACAGAGATGGGGTGTCCTTTCCAACTTTGAAATCCCAGACTAACAGTAATTCATACCAAACAATGGCTCAGACACCAAGGTTAGCTCTCTACATATTTTAATTTGTCTCAAAGAGATTGATTTTTCCTTGCTTTGCTTTTAATACACTTTCAGGAATTTTAAGTTGTGTTGTAACTTAAGGTTGAAAAATGAAATTATTTACATAAATTTTACAGAATTGATTATTGTTTCATACATGCAACCTACAAATATTTTGTGTTTAAAATTTAGAACTGTTAATAATAGCTTTTTTCTTACTAAATAGATTAAGAAAACTTAAAAAAGTATATTTTGTTTTTAATCATATCTTTCTTGCTTTTTGGTCCTATAAAAAATATAATAATGATGACACATATTACATATAGTCACAACTTGACTAGACTCTGGGTGATAAAGAGCTTGTTAAATTGTATATTGGTGAAAATCTAGATCTTTGGATATTTTTGGTACTGTTGGATTACTGTCTCATTAACAAATACCTCACATTTCTATTTAACTATAAACCATCATTAGAAGGAAAGCTGGCTTACCCTACTTTATACATTCACTGCACTATACAGACTTCACTCAAACCTTTCTGTTGATCTTCTCTCTGAGACAAGTTATTTATATTCCGATATAACAAAAATAGTGTAGAAATTTATACTAGTCACAACTTTTTTCGTTCAGAAAAAGTATTTCAATAAATTAAAATTTTGCCCAAATTGTTTTATTGTGGAAGATTTGTACTGTAGTTTCAGAAGTGCATAATGACATTTATTTATGAAGTATCAAGTTAAGGAAACTGCTCTGTCAAACTTTTTTAAAAACAGATTCTCAAATTTAGAGATTTTTTTCCTTTTACTTTATGTATCAGTTTAGGCAAATAGAAATGAGTTCTTACCAGTGCCACACCTAGAATTTTCTGAAATTATTTAATGCATTTTTTAGTTGTGAACTCATGAGTTAAAATGAATAACTAGTTGTTACAAGGAGAAATTACTATATGTACCCAAAAAAATTTGTAAGCTTTTCTTAATGTTGTACATGTATATCATTTTAATTTTTTTTTTATCCTTGTAACAATTCATTAATGTTTGAAAAGTGAGGGCATGGTAATGGTCCTATTTGGTCTAAACTTTATTATGAATATTCACCAAGATTTTAAATTCAAAAGATAGCATAATTATTTTTGTTGGCAAACAATGACAAATTGCATGGTTTTGACAGACATTTGTAAGTGGTAAATAAATACATGCAAGAATATTATTAATAAAGATATGAAAGGTGTTTTTTTATATAGACAAACACTGTTCAATTATTTATTTGGTTTGTGAATAGTCTCTAAATTTGTGAGTCTGTCTGTTATTTTTCTTTAAATTTTTTTTGAAGTCGCCTTTCTAATTCATAACTACATTTATACATTTCTTTGATCCCTAACTATCTGTTTTAGTTTCGTATTATTTCAAGTTTGAAAATAGAAATAAATGGAATTCTTAATTAAAAAATTCAAATTCAGTGAAAATTAGCCCAAATTAGGTGATCATTACACCCTGTCCTTTGCAATAAAAGACCCTCTAATAATTTCTGAAGTCACAGTACATCATTTACCATAGGAAAGTTCAATACAAACAGTTTTTTTAAATATCTGTAAATTTGCAAAAATGTTGACCATTATGAGCTAGAGCTACTAAAGAAAAATCTGACAACTAACACAGAACTTTTGGTAAATATGGAAAGGACACCCATGTTAGGACATATTTAAAGTACATACCATTTATTACAGTTTTGGTGATGGCATTGCCTATCCGACTAGGACTGATGATATACCGTCTGACGGTCTGTTAGCAGACAGACAAAGATGGATGGAGGAAGGAGATGTTGATGGTGGTAAGATGTAACACACAAATAGTGTTGCTGTGATATAGATTGTTTCTGAAACTATTGAAATTTTTAAAGAATATGATTGATTTTATGAATTTCAACTTTTTAAATTGAATTTTTGACCTTGGAAATGTGAAAGTTCAAAAAATATGATAGAACTGCAAAATTTTCATTATTGAATAGTCTCAGAAACTTGCTTTTTTTATACTGCAGAGCAAAGGACAGCACATTTTTGATAAAATAAATATCATTATTCAAATTTTAGTTCCAGATAAAAATAAATTTAAGTTGGATAATTCTGTCAAACTTCTCAAATGCCATACTTTCTGGTTTTAGATTCATGTCAGATCTGTTGAATTTTACTCCCAAATTATGAAATTGATAGATATTTCTTTTTTTTGATATTGAATTTACTATGAATAATTTACTCATTCTTATAAAGAACAGAAGCATGAATAATTAGGAAAGACTTTAAGCTCAAGATATTTACAGAAACAATGTCAATCAGTTTAACAAATGTAACACTTTAAAAGAGTTATTTCTATTATTTTTTGCGGTGTACTTATATATACTATTGTCAAGCTGCATGTGACAGGACAGCTGAAATGATGCCCTTACAAAAAATGCAATTTAGCATAGAAATATGTAGATAGAGATAATAAAACATCAAACTTAATATTTCAGAATGTGATGTGCTAAACAAAAGTAAGAAAAAATGGATATCACTAAAAGTAATCAGTTCTTTCCTAATCGTTATATTCAAGCTAAGACTACTGGTAGTAGTTAGGCAAAAGGCAAAAAAAAAATACATGATCAAAAATGGAGCTTGTTTTTGTAAATTGTAGAAAGTGAGAATTTATGTATTTTGGAATAAAAAATCCCAATTCCCAACCATCTCCTTTGATAGTATAATTTCATATATATGTTTTTCTATAACGTGTTTATTTCCACTTTTGAATGAATGTATTAGATTCAAAGAACACTTACAAACAGATTTACTAACAGTTAGTTGTTTTATTGTAGGAACACAATTGAGTGGTTCCAGTACTAATTTAATCAAGTGATAATACAGGTGCTTGTTGCTTTCTTATTATATATATTTATATTGCTTTGTCACACATCATTAATAGTTTTTGTTGCAAATATACAGATTTTGTTTTTTACAATATTGGATATTTGTTACAGAGAGCGACTTCTTCGTAGCAAAGACTAGAGCATGGGGTATGACATGGTTTTCATGAGTGATATGCTGGAGCTTATAACATTTTGCTTTATTTATTCATTTCCTTACATCATTTGAATGATATAACTTGTTTTGAAGTTATTCATTGGAATTAGAGCATATTTTAGAACACAGATATTCATTTTGCTTTGGCAGTTGCCTGTGTTTCCATTTGAAAAATTGAAAACCACAGGAAGACTTAGATAAAAAATATACATATCTCTTAGAGATTTTAATGAAATTTTGCATGCAGCTAGAGCATGTGGGACTGAATCTGTGTATAGAATTTTTTTTATAGATAACATTAATACTGCCAAAGATAGATATAGAAAATTGAACTGAATTAAGTTTACATTAGCTGAATTTTTATTTGATTGATTGATTGGTTCGTGTTTAACGCCACTTTCAGGACTATTGCGTTTTTTCATTACGGTCAGTTTTCATTCGTGGAAGAAGCCAGAGAGAACAACAGTCCTTTGGGTGGAAAACTAACAATCCTAGTCAATTAATATTGGAGTCTTATGTACCTGCCACACGCCAAATTCGAACTCACAACCTCAGTGTTGACAGACTAGTGATGCAATATAGTTAGACTTCTTAGACCACTCGGCCACCAAGGCCCTTAAATGAATTTAATTTGATTTAATTAATTTAAAAGTTTGGCAAAGAAAAAACATATGTAGTAATATCCATAAAAATCAAAAACATGGTTTCTTCAGGCCTTCAAAAAGTTGTTTGAAAAAAATTGTTAGTTTCAAAATATTTAAGTTCCTTGCATGGCCACTCATTGGATGAGTTCAATGATTGAAAAATCTTAAATTGGGGACTATTTTTAAGAAGGGGGTACTTGAAAAAATATCCCATATAAATTATTTTGACCCCATTTTTCGTCAGATCCTCTTGTATTTAGGTAGCCACTCAACAAAATCTTAGAAATATGTACTTGTAATAATATTCCATATTAATTATGTGGGTAGTGTGGGGTATGTGAGCTTGCTCACTTAATGTTCTTTCATTTTAAAAAGTCACTGTTGTAAAGCTTTGCCATGACTGTTGTCTCATGTGTTGTTAATTGGTATAGCTGAAAATTATATGGTAGTGCTTGGCACTCTCCTAATAAAAAATTATGGAAAAAAAGAGTTGTTATAAATTTTTATGGGAGTTATTGCCCCTAAATGATGACTTTTACCAATATTTTACCAATATTTCTTGTTATCTTGATTACTATGATAGATAAAATAGAAACTTAGGAAAAATGATCAGCAGGACAAATTATACTGTAAATTCAGAAATTATTGCCTACATTTATTATTGCGATTTTTGGAGAATGAATAAAATTGTGAGATTATTTATTGCGATTTCAGGAATTTCTGCATTTTGGCTGTTCCATTAAAACATACATGGTACCCTGGGAAGGCACTTTAAAAATGGGGTAAGCACCTATAGAGGCAAATTAAAATTTGACTTACATTACCACTTTGCAAAAAAAATAGATGACACCCACCCATAGTTGAGATTTAAAAGTGCCTTCCCTTGGTCCCATGTATGTTTTTCTGGAACTGCCCTTAAGATATATGTATCTGATATGAGAATGTGAGTTTTTATTATTGCAATACTCACCCAGTTACATTCTTCACATTATTAAAAACCTCGCAATAATTTCTAAATTTACAGTTATCAACATGGATGAAGTCGTCCGTCTACTCAATATAGCCAAAAATATAGTAGATAAGGAAATCTAGAAACAGCAAAAAAAATGTTCATCATTACAAGATCAACACACAAGAGATTTTAGTCAAGAATTATATTCTAGTCCTTAATGTTGAAGAGAGTCTATTGATGAAAAGTTGAATGTGATTAACATACGTATTTACCCTTGTATATTTTACACTTTGCCGGCTCATTCAAATTTTGCATTCAATCTTATGTCAGCTTTTTCAGGTAGTTTCTTTATGGTGGGACATCATTGTCTTTAGGACACATTAAGTTTTGTGCACTGATCCACAGTTCTTATTTACAGCAATATTCTTGTATTGTGATATAAAGTACAATATCAACAGTATCAAACAGTTGTTTCTGGTACTGTAAACATTCCTTATTTTTTTTCAGACTATAACAGTCATTTCAACAAAGCCGTGAGTTACAGATGAGCCATGTGATCAATGTTGTTGGGGAGATAACCCTGTACAGATAATAGAATAGGAATGATGCAAGGCAAACAGAAAGTTTCTTAAAAGACATGTCTCATATTAAAACTACTGTCGTAAAAATAACAAATACTTTGATAGCAGTGACATTACATAAATGACAAAATTATTGATTTTTAGAATTTTTAACATGTACTGTAAAAAGACTCTTTCTTTGATTAAACTGTAGTGTTTTGAAGTGTAAATTCTCCACTTAGATCTTTGTACAGACAGGATAGCATTTTTTATGTACTTTCATTGTCATGAAATTGTTGTTTTAAATGTCAAACATATGAAATACCTCGTAATATGTTAAGTGTTGACTTTTGACAAACACTAATTGTTATAGCAATAAAAAACCTAATGTCATTATACGACCGCAAAAATTGAAAATTTTTTGGTCGTATATTGGTATGACGTTGGCGTCGTCGTCGTCGTCGTCCGGCGTCGTCTGGCGTCGTCCGAAGACACATTGGTTTTCGCACTCTAACTTTAGTTTAAGTGAATGGATCTCCATGAAATTTTACCATAAGGTTCAATACCATGAAAGGAAGGTTGGGATTGATTTTGGGGGTTATGGTACCAACAGTTAAGGAATTAGGGGCCAAAAAGGGGCCAACAATAAGCATTTTTGTAACTTCCAGACAATAACTTGTGTGTAAGTGTATGGATCTCTCTGACATTGTACCACAAGGTTCCATATCACAAAGGGAAGGCTGTAATTGATTTTGGGGGTAATTGCCTCAAAATGTTAGGAATTAGGGGCCAAAAAAGGGGCAAAAAACAAGCATTTTTCTAGTTTCATGACAATAACTTGTGTGTAAGTGTTTGGATATTTCTGAAATTGTACTACAAGGTTCCATATCACAAAGGGAAAGCTGGAATTGAGTTTGGGGGTAATTGCCCGAAACGTTTAGGAATTGGGGGCCAAAAAGGGGCCAAAAATAAGCATTTTTCTAGTTTCCAGACAATAACTTGTGTTCAAGTGTATGGATCTCTCTGAAATTGTACTGCAAGGTACCATACCACAAATGGAAGGCTGAGATTGAGTTTGGGGGTGATGATTCATAAGGGGGTTCAAAAAATTTTGGGGGGGGGATTTTTTTTTTTCTTTTTTTCCTTTTTTTTTTGTTTTAAAATTTTCCATTTTAAGTTGGTTATTTCTGATTTATATTTAAAAGCAAATAATAATGATATGGTAGGAGATACACACCAAACAGGATGTGTAAATTATTATATAATAAGTATTGTGCAATAGCAAGAAATTTTCAATTGCACAGTATTGCACAATAGCAAGAAATCTTCAATTGCACAGTATTGCGCAATAGCAAGAAATCTTCAATTGCACAGTATTGCGCAATAGCAAGAAATCTTCAATTGCACAGTATTGCGCAATAGCAAGAAATATCCAATAGCACAATATTGCGCAATAGCAAGAAATTGTCAATTGTACAGTATTGCGCAATAGCAAGAAATAATCAATTGCACAGTATTGTGCAAAAGAAGATACTTCGTATAAATTGCTTATTTCTTGATCAATTTAAATGGGGATTTATTCTTGAATTCTTGGGGTTCTTTAATATGCTGAATCTAACCGTGTATTAAGTTTTTGGATTTTGGGCCCCGTTTTTAAATTGGTCCACATTGAGGTCCAAAGGGTCCAAAATTTAACTTTGTTTGATTTCATCAAAAATTGAATTATTGGGGTTCTTTGATATGCCGAATCTAACCGTGTATTTAGATTCTTAATTTTTGGTTCTGTTTTCAAATTGGTCTACATAAAGGTCCAAAGGGTCCAAAATTAAACTTAGTTTGATTTCAACAAAAATTGAATATATGGGGTTCTTTGATATGCTGAATCTAACCATGTATTTAGATTTTTGATTATGGGCCCAGTTTTCAAGTTGGTCCAAATCGGGGTCCAAAATTAAACTTTGTTTGATTTCAACTAAAATTGAATATATGGGGTTCTTTGATATGCTGAATCTAACCATGTATTTAGATTTTTGATTATGGGCCCAGTTTTCAAGTTGGTCCAAATCGGGGTCCAAAATTAAACTTTGTTTGATTTCAACAAAAATTGAATATATGGGGTTCTTTGATATGCTGAATCTAACCATGTATTTAGATTTTTGATTGTTGGGCCCCGTTATCAACTTTGTCCACATTGAGATCAAAAGGGTCCAAAATTAAACTTTGTTTGATTTCATCAAAAATTGAATATATGGGGTTCTTTGATATGCTGAATCTAACCATGTATTTAGATTTTTGATTATGGGCCCAGTTTTCAAGTTGGTCCAAATCGGGGTCCAAAATTAAACTTTGATTTCAACAAAAATTGAATATATGGGGTTCTTTGATATGCTGAATCTAACTGTGTATTAAGTTTTTGGATTTTGGGCCCCGTTTTAAAATTGGTCCACATTGAAGTCCAAAGGGTCCAAAATTTAACTTTGTTTGATTTCATCAAAAATTGAATTATTGGGGTTCTTTGATATGCCGAATCTAACCGTGTATTTAGATTCTTAATTTTTGGTTCCGTTTTCAAATTGGTCTACATAAAGGTCCAAAGGGTCCAAAATTAAACTTAGTTTGATTTTAACAAAAATTGAATTTTTAGGGTTCTTTGATATGCTGAATCTAAACATGTATTTAGATTTTTGATTATGGGCCCAGTTTTCAAGTTGGTCCATATCGGGGTCCAAAATTAAACTTTGTTTGATATCAACAAAAATTGAATATATGGGGTTCTTTGATATGCTGAATCTAACCATGTATTTAGATTTTTGATTTTTGGGCCCTGTTATCATTTTTGTCCACATTGAGATCAAAAGGGTCCCAAATTAAACTTTGTTTGATTTCATCAAAAATTGAATTCTTGGGGTTCTTTGATATGCTGAATCTAACCATGTATTTAGATTTTGGATATTGGACCATAATAGGTGAATGTCCAATTTAAAATTTTTAAGTTCTTAGACCACATTCATTCTGTGTCAGAAACCTATGCTGTGTCAAATATTTAATCACAATCCAAATTCAGAGCTGTATCAAGCTTGAATGTTGTGTCCATACTTGCCCCAACTGTTCAGGGTTCGACCTCTGCGGTCGTATCAAGCTGCGCCCTGCGGAGCATTTTATTTTAATAGTCATCATTTTCTGAATGCTTAAATTCATAAAATTTGGTAAAATCTGATAAAAATAGTCTCCTCTTTTATGAAATGACCAGGTATATTCTTGCGTAATGTAATTCAATACAAGTGTTGGTTTCATTCATGAAGATAGTTGATAACTTTTATGTGTGTTGACTATAACCTGCCTTTGTTTGATCATTTCATGATTATATGCACTTTTAGTTGAATAGTTTTGATAATGTAAATAATCATTAACCGTCACAAAATGGTATCATTAAGAAATTAGGAATTGTGGAAATTAAGTCAAAAAAAATTTCTCCTTTTGGTTTAACAATTGTAGTTCGATATGAAAACTGAATTATCTATAAACTTTAAGAAATTGTTATGAAAACACAGTTTGTATAATATAGTGCAAAATTTTAACCATTTAAAGGATGCATATTTACATGAATAAGTTTTATTTGCTAATTTCTGTCTTTAACAGTGTAAACTTGTTCGTTGTTACCACATTGGCATTGTAACAGTCAGATACCTAAATAGTGTTGTGTCAATCAAGTAGTGTTGTAATTCACTATGTTTTATACTTTGCATCTTGGGTAAATATCTGTCTACCTTTTGTGGAGTTATTGCCCATGAAATGTTGATATTTAACCTTGTTGGCATTTCCTTGCTAAAAGGATGAGAACAACAAGTTATATCTATCCTAAAAATTGAAAGAAAAAATATATCAACCTGTTTTGGACAAGATTTATCTACTCTAAAACAATTCACATCCTTTTTTTGGAGTTATTGCCCTTGAAATGTTGTTTTTTGTCTCTCCTTGGCGGAGTCAAAAAGCGAGACTTAAGTATGCTGTTTTCGGCGGCGGCGTCGTCAACAATGTATTAGTTTGTGATTAGGTCTAGTTCATGGTGAACCACTAGTGGTAGGTCAATGATATTTGGTATGCAGTTGTATTAGCATTGGCACATCTCATTACCATGGAGATTATTTGACCCCGCCCTCTCAGTCAAGGTCTATTGACTTTGAAACTTTTGCTTAGTTTACATGTATTAGTTTGTGATTAGATCAGTTTAAGATGAACTGCTAATGTTAAGTCAATGATATTTGGTATGCAAATTTATTGGCATTTGCAAGTATTGTTCCCATGGAGATTATATAGCCCCACCCCTGATCATGGTTCATTGACTTTGAAACTTTTACATAGTTTACAAGTTAATGTTTGTGTTTAGGTTTGTTTAAAGGGAACGACTTATAATAAGTCAATGGTATTTGGTATGCAGTTGTAGTAGCATTGGAACATCTCATTCCATGGAGATTGTTTAGCCTTGTACCTTCAGTCATGGTTCATCAACTTTGAATATTTGCATAACTTACATGTTAAAGTATTGCTATTTTAATTTCAACATTTGCATTATCAAAATTACAAAAAAGCGAGACATATCGCTGTGATAACAGTTCATTACTGTTTTTTGTAGTTTTGAATTGTTTTTGAAACTAAATTGCAAAAATGATCAGCAACACAAGAGTAACTTAAATGTAAAAGTCCTAACTAGAGAACTGTTGAATTTTATAAGGTGAGCAATACAGGCACAGGTTGTCTTATATTCATGTACTAACAACAACGTTTTAGAAATATTATTTATTTGTATATTGAGAAAAATTATTGAATCTTATTTTTGTTTGTTCTCATAACTTGAATTAAGTTAGATAGTTTAGTTCTCAAAGTTAAGTTTTAGTTTTGTATATATTTTTTAAAAGAACAAAAATATAGAACTATAATATTACAGTTTTAGCAAGCAAAAATTACTGAAATATGATGGTCATAGATCATTTTAAAATATAACATTGAAATTCCTTTTGTAAATGGAAATTACACTTAAGAAATCTGGTGCATGGCAGGATCTTTTCCAAATTTACCTTCGTCAGGAATGTTAAAACTTAAAGTTCAAAAGCAATGATGTCTAATTACTTGAGGATCTATATGACTAAAAATGGACATTAAAAGAATAGTTGAAACCCTCTAAGTTCAACTTTGCTTGAGGGAGTTGTAACCTTAGGTTCTTAATTTTTTCTAAATTTATCAATAGAAAGTTTTAGATAATGACAGTGGCAAAACAATATTTTTTACTTTAATTGGAGATACATTATACTGTAAAGTGAAAGAAATTATGTCGCTTAATTAAAATAGGAACTATTGTAAGCCATTTCAATGTGATCCTTTTGGCTGGTAACATTTGATTAAAATTTACCATTGTAAAGTCAATCTATGTGATCTTTTTGGCAATTCTGGACAGAAAATGTGCATTAACAAGAAGGTCATTAGGTCATACTACTTATTTTTTAGATATGAACAGAACATAATATAAAAGATAGGTTGAAAGATTCATGTGTACAAAGTACAAGTTCATTAACAAATGTTGTTCAATCATATCATCAAATAATGTTTGTTTGCAGCAAATAATTTCCAATGGACATAAAGCAAGCAACAATCAGTTATTCATATGTTTGTTAAATAATAAGCTTCTGTTTTATTTTTATACGACCGCAAAAATTAAAAATTTTTTGGTCGTATATTGGTATGACGTTGGCGTCGTCGTCGTCGTCGTCGTCGTCGTCGTCGTCGTCGTCGTCGTCGTCCGGCGTCGTCGTCCGGCGTCGTCCGAAGACACATTGGTTTTCGCACTCTAACTTTAGTTTAAGTGAATGGATCTCCATGAAATTTCACCATAAGGTTCAATACCACAAAAGGAAGGTTGGGATTGATTTTGGGGGTTATGGTACCAACAGTTAAGGAATTAGGGGCCAAAAAGGGGCCAAAAATAAGCATTTTTGTAACTTTCAGACAATAACTTGTGTGTAAGTGTATGGATCTCTCTGACATTGTACCACAAGGTTCCATATCACAAAGGGAAGGCTGTAATTGATTTTGGGGGTAATTGCCTCAAAATTTTAGGAATTAGGGGCCAAAAAAGGGGCAAAAAACAAGCATTTTTCTAGTTTCATGACAATAACTTGTGTGTAAGTGTTTGGATATTTCTGAAATTGTACTACAAGGTTCCATATCACAAAGGGAAAGCTGGAATTGAGTTTGGGGGTAATTGCCCGAAACGTTTAGGAATTGGGGGCCAAAAAGGGGCCAAAAATAAGCATTTTTCTAGTTTCCAGACAATAACTTGTGTTCAAGTGTATGGATCTCTCTGAAATTGTACTGCAAGGTACCATACCACAAAGGGAAGGCTGGGATTGAGTTTGGGGGTGATGAATCATAAGGGGGTTCAAAAAATTGGGGGGGGGGGGGATTTTTTTTTTTTTTTTTTTTCTTTTTTTCCTTTTTTTTTTCTTTTAAAATTTTCCATTTTAAGTTGGTTATTTCTGATTTATATTTAAAAGCAAATAATAATGATATGGTAGGAGATACACACCAAACAGGATGTGTAAATTATTATATAATAAGTATTGTGCAATAGCAAGAAATTTTCAATTGCACAGTATTGCACAATAGCAAGAAATCTTCAATTGCACAGTATTGCGCAATAGCAAGAAATCTTCAATTTAACAGTATTGCGCAATAGCAAGAAATATCCAATAGCACAATATTGCGCAATAGCAAGAAATTGTCAATTGTACAGTATTGCGCAATAGCAAGAAATATTCAATTGCACAGTATTGTGCAAAAGAAGATACTTCGTATAAATTGCTTATTTCTTGATCAATTTCAATGGGGTTTTATTCTTGAATTCTTGGGGTTCTTTAATATGCTGAATCTAACCGTGTATTAAGTTTTTGGATTTTGGGCCCCGTTTTTAAATTGGTCCACATTGAGGTCCAAAGGGTCCAAAATTAAACTTTGTTTGATTTCAACAAAAATTGAATATATGGGGTTCTTTGATATGCTGAATCTAAACATGTATTTAGATTTTAGATTTTTGGCCCAGTTTTCAAGTTGGTCCAAATTGGGGTCCAAAATTAAACTTCGTTTGATTTCAACAAAAATTGAATATATGGGGTTCTTTGATATGCTGAATCTTACCATGTATTTAGATTTTTTATTTGTGGGCCCGCTATCAAATTGGTTCATATTGAGGTCAAAAGGGTCCAAAATTAAACTTTGTTTGATTTCATCAAAAATTGAATTATTGGGGTTCTTTGATATGCCAAATCTAACTGTGTTTTTAGATTTTTAATTTAGGGTCCCGTTTTTTAAATTTGTCTACATTAAGGTCCAAAGGGTCCAAAATTAAACTTAGTTTGATTTTAACAAAAATTGAATTCTTAGGGTACTTTGATATGCTGAATCTAAACATGTGTTTAGATTTTTGATTATGGGACCAGTTTTCAAGTTTGTCCAAGTTGGGGTCCAAAATTAAACTTTGTTTGATTTCAACAAAAATTGAATATATGGGGTTCTTTGATATGCTGAATCTAACCATGTATTTTGATTTTGGACATTGGACCATAATAGGTAAATTAAAAAAATTGAAGTTCTTAGACCACATTCTTTCTGTGTCAGAAACCTATGCTGTGTCAAATATTTAATCACAATCCAAATTCAGAGCTGTATCAAGCTTGAATGTTGTGTCCATACTTGCCCCAACTGTTCAGGGTTCGACCTCTGCGGTCGTATCAAGCTGCGCCCAGCGAAGCATTTTATTGAGTTTGTGATTTAATTTGTAGTTTGATATTAACAAGATTTATGAGGTTTATGAGGATGTTGACCTGGTAAATTATTGTTGAATGGAGTGATAAATGGAGTGTTAATGAAATTATTTCTGGTATTTGATATATGGAACAATCTTTTTACTTGCATTATATTAAAAAATCAATAACTTGTGTTCAACACATAAGAGCAGAAGTAAAATTATGTAAATATTCACTATACTCAATCCGGGGGGGAGTCTGATTATAAATATTTATTTATAGTAAAATATAAATGTTTTGAAATTCTAAATTTTTATCAGATATTTCAGCATCTTAGTAATCGATAAGATAGTAACAAAAGATTTACATGCACATGCATATTGTACTAGTTATATTTGTATATTGGATATAATGATAAGATAACAAAAACTATACAAACTTCACAATACACTATTTATATATAGGATATGGGTGCACATTAAATATTTATAGTGTTGATTGTGTATCAAGATATCAAATTCTCTTAACATTTTAATTAAATTCATACCAGAAAATTTTTAGTTCTTACTGTTTATAGAAGAAACTTAAGTTTTCCTATAAACAGAATGGTTGTTTCTTACTTTTATTGTGTATTATTTATTTACTTTTAAGTTTTGTAAGAATTATAGATGTATCAAATAATGTATTCTCATTATTGAGTTGACTCATGAATAAATGTTTGTTTTTATACTGAAATAGAATTTTTCATTCATTCTCCAGAAAAACAATCACCATTTGTTATTATCATCAATTCAAGAGGAACATATAGGCCATTTTTATTTGAATCAAAATGTTATTCCAACAGTACAGCTCCTGTTAAATGGAATGAAAGATTTGCATAACTCCTCCTATATGGAATGCTAGATTTGCATAACTCCTCCTATATGGACTGTTAGATTTGAATAGACTGATTGACTGGTGGTTGTTTTAAATCAAGTGTAAATTGTTGTGTTACTATTCTAGATGAGCAATGCATATAGTGTTTTGACATACATTGTAGATTATAATGTACAAAATTGTAAGGATAAGACATTCCAATTTGTTTTTCTAGTCCACTTCCGGCAAAGCCAGATTACCTCTTTGTTTTATCTGTTCTTCAATATATCGATTAAATATTTGGTTTATAAAGTTGCAGATCAAGTTTGAGTTCTGTTCAAGTTGACCATTTTTTCAGAAAATGTCCTTTTACATAGAAAATATCTGAAAACCTTTTGTCTACTATGTTGGAGAGTGTCGATTGTTGAAGACGCACACAGACCTAGGTGAGCAACACAGGCTCTTTAGAGCATCTAGTTTGGTAATGCATGAATCAGTTGATTAGATATTTGGTATAT